TCCCCCTCCCAGGCATTTTCCATTCCTGGAAAGACTCCTTTGGGGTCCAGAATCCAGAGACCAAACCCTGACCCACCTCCTTCCTTTCCTCCAGCCCACGCTGGTCTGTCCCCATGCCTTCCTAGGGCTTCTTCATGTCAGATGCACCCAAGTCCTTAGCCCAGCTGTGCCACCTACAGGAGTTCGCTCTTGTGTTTCTTCCCCTCCCCAAGAAGGGAGGGGCCACTTCAGGCCCTTCTGTGTGTTGCCTGGCAGGATACCTTGTCCAACCAGCTACCCACCTCAACTCCCCTGTAGCTTAGGACACAAAACAGCTACCAGCGGTACAGAGCGGTGATCAGAGCCAAGTACTTACAACTCTGGTAAGCCTAGCTTCTCCGCCTTGGCCCTTTTGCCTCTGGAAGGGCTATCCTGGGGCTGAACTTGAAACTCTCATCAGGCTTCTGCAAAAGCTCTTCCTGAAGACAGACCCAGCCTTTGTGCTCTCACCCTCCATTCTGGTAAAGCTGCACCTCTAGGGGAATGAGGGGCTGCAGGAATTTCTGGAGAGCCTGGTGCTTCACGATGCTGCTCTGGTGATTCTTGTACCTAATCTGGTGTGCTCACCAGTGAGTGAAATGGATCGTGGTCAGGGATACCAAGAGAGTGGGGTCACTTCCACTTCAAACCATCAGTGAGGGGGTGGGATGGAGAGAATGCTGAATCTTGTTTTTGATGGGATGGGGTTTTTCTCTTTGTAATTATTTCTTTAGTTTAATTAACCTTTTGGTTGTTTGTGCAATATTATATATTTTAAATTATAATGCATCTCCCCAGAGTATTTTGTAGCTGGGAAAACAAAAACGGAAAAGAAAAAAAGATTCTAACAGCTGTTAGTTTTATAATTAAAACAGAAAGAAAAAAAGAACTTTGTCCTGAACCTTTTACAGACTTACAGTTAACAGCATTAAAGTGATTCAGCCGAAGCTGGAAGGTGTCTGGGGGTCTATTTTTGTCCCCTTGGCAGCTGCACTGGGCCACTTGGAACCAGAGGCAGGGTAGGGGGATAGCCTGGGTCCAGAGGAGGTCCCTTGTCCTCATCCCAGATTCAGCTTTGCCTTTGGGATGAAAAAGGGGCAGGACTTCCAGCAGTCCTCTCACCAGGACAAGGAGTCGAGAGGCCATCTCTGCATTCCCAATGCCTCACTTTTATTTGGAAAGGAAGTTGCAGCAACAGTGGTTTCAGTTGCTCTTGGTCATTTTTCTCCTTTCCTCCCCATGTGTATTTGATTCTCGGGTCTTTTAAAATTAACTTTAGTATGAAAAATCACTTGTCGGGTGAGGTGCAATGGCTCACGCCTGTAATCCCAGCACTTTGGGAGGCCAAGGCAGGTAGATCACTTAAGGTCTGGAGTTCGAGACCAGTCTGGCCAACATAGTGAAACCCTGTCTCTACTAAAAATACAAAAATAGCCTGACGTGGTGGTAGGCGCCCAGCTACTGGGGAGGCTGAGGTAGCAGAATCGCTTGAACCTGGGAGGAGGAGTTGCAGTGAGCTGAAATCGTGCCACTGTACTCCAGCCTAGGTGACAGAGCAAGACTCTGTCTCAGAGGGGAAGAAAAAAGGAAGTCTGAATGAGGCCCTTGGGTTCCATGAAGATCTCTACATGGAAAGAGTAGTAAGGCTAGGGAGGATGTCTGTAAGTTTTAGGATGAGTAAACTTAAAGCGTAAAATATCTATCACCATTTTAGAAGCGGGTTTTTGAGTTTGCTTTGTCCCCCTACTTTATTGGGGAGCACTTGCCATTGCTTTTATCAAGCGCTTGCTAGCCATGGATGCCAACTAACTTCTTCAATTGAAGGCCGGAGGATCATGTCAGGTTCCAGGAGCCTCTTGAGCAGGTCCTGGCATTCGGCCGAGATGCTCAGATGAGTGGGGAAGGATACCCCTTTCTGCTGCTCCCACAGCATCTTGGGGATGTCTGTGTCGTCAAAAGGTAGGCTGGCACAGAGCATGACATATAGGACCACACCCATGCTCCAGATGTCACCTTTTTTGCTATCATGGGGAATGCCCTGCAGCACCTCGGGGGCGGCATAGGCTGTGCTGCCGCAGAAGGTCTGGCTCAGCTCCCGGTGTGACTTGGGCAACACCTTGGCAAAGCCAAAGTCAGTCAGCTTCAGGTTGAAGCCCTGCAACAAGGCGTTCTCGCATTTGAGGTCCCGGTGGGCCACACCACAGCCGTGGCAGTAGCAGATGGCCTCAACCATCTGACGGAAGAGGGCCTTGGCCCGGCTCTCAGGCAGTGGTCCCCCATTCAGCACGCAGTCAAAGACATCCCCTCCCTCGGCCAGCTCCATTACCAGGTAGATTTTCCCATCGGCAGACTCCAGCATCTCATACACCTGGACGATGTTCTTGTGATCCAGGGTACGGACTATTTGGAGCTCCCGAGGAAGGAATCTCTGGATAAACTCTGAGGAAGTAAGGAGAGTAGAGATGGGCTGGAAGATCAGAAAGGCCTACCTCCTCACACCTGTCTTCTGCCTTCCAACTTCTGTCCTGCCCACCTTGTCTGGGTCTTATTTCTTGGCTCCCTTAATGGTCTTAAATATGTCTAGCTGCTTGGATATTGCAAAGAATGTTCACTTCTGTTATTTTTGTCACTAACCTATCTTTCAAAGGAACCACTCCCCACCAACTTGTGGACTGTTGTGAGCAGTCTGTCAGACTGGATAGCAAGGTGCTTTGGGGACTTTTAGACAAAGCCACAGAATCTCGAGTTACAAGGTCTGATTTGCCCAAAGGGTGATAAGCCAGCTTCTCCCACCGCTGTCCCCTGACCCACAATTTTTTCCATGAGCCCTGTCTTTTCCCCATATCCATTGGCCTTGGCACCAGCCTCTGTTCTCCGCTAGCCCTGGCTGTGGCCTCAGGCAGTCTCTGTGTCAGAGACTGTTCCCCTGCCAGAAGGGAAAGCCGGCTCAGGTTTTTTTTTTGTTTGTTTTTTTGAGACAGTCTCACTCTGTTGCCAGGCGCCAGCCTGGAGTGCAGTGGCACAATCTTGGCTCATTGCAACCTCCGCCTCCTGGGTTCAAGCAATTCTGCCTCAGCCTCCCCAGTAGCTGGGACTACAGGCGCAAGCCACCACACCCAGCTAATTTTTGTATTTTTAGTAGAGACGGGGTTTCACCATGTTGGCCAGGATGGTCTCAATCTCTTGACCTGGTGATCCACCTGCCTCAGCCTCCCAAAGTGCTGGGATTACAGGCTTGAGCCACCGCGTCCGGCCCCAGCTCAGGTTTTGCCTCTGAGGATCCTTCACCTCATGCTACTTTAATCTTGTGTTTGGGGGATGTAATGTTCCTGGACTCTTAGAACGCCTCTGTTCCCCACTGACCCACTCCAGAGCTGCCACGGGGCTTGCTTAGTTCCAGACCAGTGGGAGCAGGGAATGATCGAATAATCTAACTGGAGGAAGCACCCACCTGGCCTCAGCCAGCCTGCCCTCCCTCCAAAGGGGCCCTGGCTCACCTTCTGGCCCTCCCATCTTGTCTATAATTTTAATTGCCACTTTTCTTTGGTGTTTTTTGGAAAATGCTTCTTTGACTTTTGAGTAGGTCCCTTCCCCAATGGTCTTGCCCAGCTGGTATCCATTGGAGAGCAGAAAGTCCTCCATGCTGTCTAGCGCCTCCTTCCTATCACCCTCTCAGCTCATGCTGCCTCTGCGAGGCAGCTGTAAGCCACCATCACCCTTGGCCTGCTCCTTTTCTCCCCAAGCACTTCATCCGCAGCCGCCCCCAGCGTTAGAACATTCTCTGTCTGGACACAGCCGCGGGTGGTGGGGAGGGAGAGGGTCAGACATTTTAAAACTCCGGTGCAATTGTGATGTAAATGCTGTGTGACCCTTGGCCAAAATGGTAGTGCCCCTATCTGCTCTCACTACCACCACCAAACCCAGCCCGGGTTAAGTCACTGCCGCGCCCACTCCCGCGCCAGGCACTGGGTCATAGCCCCCTCTAGGAGGGCTTCCGCGGCGTCTGTGTGGGCGGGGGATGCCAGTATCCTAGGCGTGGACGCCATCTCGCGGCGGGTTGCCCTGGCCTTCTGCGCCCCACTCCGGTAGCTGCGGTCTGCCCGATCTGGTCTCCAGGTGCCATGGCCAAAGCCCTCCAGTTCCAGGCTCCAACCTGCGCTAAGTGCCTGGGGCGGCCGGGGGCGCCGTTGGGGGTTCCCTAGCTGGAGGAACGGGCTTTGTGAGGTCAGCGCGCCGTGGCCCGGGTCACAATGCTGCCCTCCTCGACGCCAGGACCCGGACGCGCCACAGACACCTGCCCGGCTCCACGGACCGGAGCATTCTCCCGTGGCCAGGGCTGGGGCAGCTGCTTTCAGCCTGGGACCGGCCTTGGCCTCCAGCAGGTGAGCGACGACCCAGGGGTCGGGCGCGAGGCGGGGGCGCCCGGCGGCCCAGGAGAGGCCTGACCGCCACTCCCTGTGCAGAGCGCCCCGGGGCCTGGACATGAGCGCCCAGGAGCCCCCGCAGGGTCGGAGATTCCCCATTGAGGCCGGAGACTCCCGTGGCCTTGCCGCCGCCCCCGAGTCCCAGGACAGCCCGGAGGCGGTAGCGACGGAGCACAACCCGATCAGGTGAGGCCCGCCCCGTGGCCCCGCCCTCTGTCCCACTTGGTGCTCCTAGCGGTAAGGTCCCCACATCCACGTCCCGGTCCCCGGGGGACCCCAGGTGAACTACGTGGATGTGCCCCCACAGGATGGGCCGGGCCTCCGCCTCAGCGCCCCCTGTCACGCTCCGCTTTCAGCAGGCCGCTTCGACGCTGCCCCGGCTGCCACTGCCTGACACTGCTGCACGTGCCCATCGACGTTTACCTGGCCATGGGCGGGAGCCCCCGGGCCCGCGCCACGTGAACGTATTGCAGCTCCACTGGAGCCGGACGGGAACGATGGCCGCCGCGGGCCACCACGCTGAGGTCCCCCGCGCCGAGCACGAGACAGTGATGCACATTTTAAAATAAAAGAATGATGCACATTTTAATAAAGCACAGCATAAACTGTTCTTTCCACTTCGGGTTGGTAGTGTCTATCCGTCGGGTCCACCAGCTGCACTGCCCAGTAACACTTCCCTTTCTGCAGCCTCCTCAACTGGACCCAACCCTAGAGGCCTGCCCTTCCACCTTTTCAACCTGCGCCACTTCCCTCCTCCCACTTCTTGCTGGTCCTGACCCTCCCTGGGCAGCCTTTACCCTGGGGCTTGTCCATCTCTAACCCCTTCTCCGGTGAAATTCACATCACTGTGGGGGGATGCCGGCAACCCACAGAGGAGGGGAACAGGACGGGGAAGAGAGGTGGACCGACAAGTAACATAGAATACAGACAATGGCCACCCATACCAGGCGTTTTTTGTTTTTGTTTTTTGTTTGTTATTGAGATGGAGTCTCACTCTGTCGCCCAAGCTGGAGTACAGAGGCGCGATCTCGGCTCACTGCAACCTCTGCCTCCCTGCAACCTCTGCCTCCCAGGTTCCAGCGATTCTTCTACCTCAGCCTCCCCAGTAGTTGGGACCACAGGCGCCCGACTAGGCCCATTTTAATCCTCTCCAGCGACAAGGTTCTGCGACATGCTCTTTTCGGCCCTGGGCCTGCGGCCTTCCTTGTTGGAGGGGTTTGGAGCTGCCCCAGTCCATTCTGAGCCTTGGTTTCTCCTACAACCGAAGGGATCACAAAAAGATTTGGGAAGAGGCCATTTGAAAAACGGTGGTTTAATAAAAAAGAAAAACAAAAACACACACACAAAAACGGTGGTTTAACTTGCTGTTTTACAGATGGGTGAAATGAGCCTTTTTGAGACTTGCCCAAGGTCCACCGATGAGAGGTGACGATAGCACACTCCGAAGCATCTTCAGACCACATGCCCTAAGATCCACCCTCCAGAGGCCCATGACAGGAACCCTACCTAGAAGTGGTAGTTTTTAAGCTAAGCACTTAAAAATTTTCTACTTTCCAATTTTGCTTTAATGAGCCCGTATATTCTACTTTACAATTTTGCTTTTATGGGGGAATGTAACCTAAAGGTCAGGTTCAGTCTCCTGTCCCCTGACATCTAAGGAGAATTGATTCAACACCCTCCTCTAATTCTCATGGGGTAGAGAAGTCCAACCTCTCCCTAGAGCACCTTAGAATTCCACAGTCACCCAGAAAGGATACCCTTCTGTTTCCACATAAAATGCTCTCCCAGGCAGTCTTCATGTAGGAGGCTTACTAAAAGGGCCTATTTCCTCACTGGTTTAAAAAAAAGGCAGGGGGGAGCATCAGCTGGTCTCTTTGGACTCTGCCAGCCCCCAAATGCTGAATCCTTCAGTCTTCCTTTCCCACCAACCCCCCACCCCACCATCTTTCCCACTTCTTTTCTCTTTTCTTCTCAACCCTCCTTTCCTTAGAAAAATAAAATAAAATAAAAATAGGCTCAGGCCTGTAATTCCAGCACTTTGGGAGGCTGAGGCAGGAGAATCACTTGAGCCCAGGAGCTCAAGACCAGCATGGAAAACAGCAAGATCCGTTCTTTAAAAACAAAACAAAACAAAAACCAGATATGGTGGTGTGTGACTATTGTCCTAGTTACTGGGGAGCCTGAAGCAGGAGGATTCCTTGTGCCCAGGAGTTCAAGGCAGCAATGAGCCGAAGTCACACTACTGCATTCCAGCCTGAGCAACAGAGTGAGATCCTGTCTCTAAAAAAATTTAGAAACCAGTTACTGCCACCTTCCATGTGCAATCTTTGTGAGGGATGCAAAGATTCCAGACACAGCCCTTGCCAACAGGGCTAGTTAGCTCTAGAATGCCCATAAACAAGGGGAAGGGCATTCCCATTGGGGAGGAACATTGTGGGTAAAGGTCTGGAGGCAGGAAAGTGAAGGGTAAGTTCAAGAAACTCAGTTCAATCAGTTTTCATCAACACCTACCTGGGCCATGCCTGGTACGGAGAACCCAGGCCTGAATCTGACATCATTTTCCCTTGCAGAGCTTAGAATGCAAGGGATCCAGGAATGAGCTAACAGAAGAGAAGCTGTTATCAAGGAGACCTTTGCATACCAGATGAAGGAGTTTGAACTTTGTTCTGCAGGCAGGCAGAGTACAACAGGCTCCTGCCTGGGTCACTTCACTCTCCTATTTCTCTTCTCTTCATCCTGTTCTCTGTTTCTTCTTACTCCTTATCCTGGGAAAAGCCACTGGCCAAAACTAGTGCTGAGTTCAAGTCCTGACTCCAGTTTTTCTAACTGTGCAATCTTGAGCTAGTTAATTAGCCCTTCTGGGCCTCCATCTTCAAGTCTGTAAAATGGGATTAATGACACTGGCTGGAAAGTTTCAGTAAGGACCTGTGTGTCCACCACACAGGAATCACTGCCACAGCTACCATTTGAGAAGCAAGAGACTGCTAGGGCTGCTGCTCCTACCTTTGTCTTCAAGGGGCAGCAGAGAGCTAGACAGCCAAAGACACTGTCCCCAGGAGTTGGGTGATGTCCAGCCCCCGGAAACCCTCTTGCCTCTCTCTCTACCAACTTCCTAGCAGTTCTGTTCAGGAGCCTAGGAACTTGGTGGGGGTTTGGGGGCAGGGGAATTTCCAGGGGTATCCCTAGGTGGAAAAGACAGAGCTGCATCCCTCACCCTAAAGGGTACATCTGTCTCCAGACTCCAGTGCAGGACCCAATGCAGATCCCAGCCTTATTCTCTGGGCCTGAGGAATGGGGAGGGGCCAGGCAAAGGGGGATGCTCGAATGGCTGCCTTCCCTGACTTCTTTCTCAGACGCCTTATTAGCCAGCCCCTCCCTAAGGGACCCCCTTTTAGAAGGAGGGGGCGAAGTACAGATGGACCCCCCAGGTTACCATGGAGACAGCAGGGAAAGAGTTGCTGTATCACCATGGCAATAACTGACGTCAGTGCTACCCTTTCCCATCACTTGATATGAGAGGGGGACAGCCACCCCAACCACAAGCAAATCCCCCATAAATCCTCCTCCTCTTACAGAGCCAATCAACCAGGGGGGTCGCCAGGCTTAATATAGCACAGGAGTTAAAAGCACAAACCTTGGTTCAAATCCTCACTCCACCTCATCCTAGCCATGTGAATTTGAGCAAGTTCCTTAACCCCTTGAAGTCTCATAGGTGCCATGAGGGTAAATAAGCAATGTGCCTCCAAGGATTATGTGAGGATGACATGGGATCACGCAGGTAACAGGTGTGGGGACTGCCTCAACCAAAGTGCACACTGACATTAGGGATGGTCAAGAATCCTACTTAGGCCAGGTGTGGTGGCTCACGCCTATAATCCAAGCACTTTGGAGGCCAAGATGGACGGATCACCTGAGGTCAGGAGTTCAAGACCAGCCTGACCAACATGGTGAAACCCCGTCTTTATATTTAAAAAAATAAAATAAAATCCTACTTATCATCTTGGGACTTGTCAGGGGATTGTGGACTTCCAGCTACAGACTCACATCTCCTAGAGGGCCCCAGGACTTACAAGGACTGGGCCTCAGAGTTTGAGCATGTCAGGATTTGGAGGTCTCAGAGTGAAACCAGAAACAGAATTTCCAGGCTCTGAGGAAACCCCAGATGCCACTTTCCCTGAAGCCTCATCACATCTGGACTCTGACCCAACTTCCCCTTCTCTTCCCTCTGCCTTGTCCTAGTCCTTAATAGCACCTTCTACCTCTTAGGGGCCTCCATATGCTCCCCTAAGAAAAAAGATGGGGTGGCCGGGCACAGTCGTTCATGCCTGTAATCTCAGCATTTTGGGAGGCTGAGGTGTGCAGATCTCTTAAGGCCAGGAGTTCAAGACCAGCCTGGGCAATGTGGCAAAACCCTGTCTCTACAAAAAAGAAAGAAAGAGAGAGAGAGAGAAAATTAGCCAAGCATGGTGGCACATGCCTGTAATCCCAGCTACTTGGGCGGCTGAGGCAAGAGGATCACCTGAGTTCAGGAGGTCGAGGTTGCCATGAGCCAAGATCATGCCACTGCACTTCAGGCTGGGCAACAGACTGAGACTCGGTCTCAAAAATAAATAAATAGAAAAGGGAAAAACAAGGATGAGGCTGGTGCTATAATCCCAGCACTCTGGGAGGCTGAGGCAGGGGGGTCACTTGAGCATAGGAGTTCAAGACCAGCCTGGACAACATGGCATCTCTACAAATACAAAACTATTAGCTAGGCATGGTAGGGAGTGCCTGTAGTCCCAGCTACTCGGGAGGCTGAAGTAGAAGGATCGCTTGAGCCCGGAAAGTCATGGCTGCAGTGAGCCGAGATTGTGTCACTGTATGAATTAAAAAAAAAAAAAAGAAGAAAAAAGGCCGGGTGCAGTGGCTCACGCCTATAATCCCAGCACTTTGGGAGGCCGAGGCGGGTGGATCACGAGGTCAAGAGATCGAGACCATCCTGGTCAACAAGGTAAAACCCCGTCTCTACTAAAAATACAAAAATTAGCTGGGCATGGTGGTGTACACCTGTAGTCCCAGCTACTCGGGAGGCTGAGGCAGGAGAATTGCTTGAACCCAGAAGGCAGAGGTTGCGGTGAGCCAAGATCATGCCATTGCACTCCAGTCTGGGTAACAACATCAAAACTCCGTCTCAAAATAATAATCATAATAAAGAAGAAGAAAAAGAAAAAGGATGGATGAGGAATCACAGGTAGAACGGCCTGGTCACCATGGGGATATGGGTGGTCCAGCTCCCACTTCCCTCTCCCCACCCACCCTTAGGGTAGAAGTACTGGAACCATTTTCATTCCCTCCATTTTCCCTGACAACCACGATTCAGTCTGCCCAAATCCACTGCCACCGCCCTGAGTCAGGCCCCTCTTACTACTCACCTGATCATTCCAGCAGCTCCCTGCCAGGCCTCTCCCTCCTTCCTTCCTCACTTGATCCTCCAAATCCAGAATTATTTTATAAAGACCACAAACGCAGCCTGGTCAGTTTCTTATTTAAACCTCATCAATGGCTTCTTCACATCCCTTGTCCAGCCACAATGGACACCTTTCAAATCATCACAAAACATTCCTCCCACCTTAAGCACACCGTCCCTTCTGCCTGACCCCACAGATCACCCTCAAAGATGGCTCCCCTGACCACCCATTGGTCCCCACCCTTAAGGCCTGCATGTCCTCTGGGTTGCCTTCAATATCTATTCCTGATCCGAACTTAATGCCTGTCCTTCCTGTTACACTACAGGCTCACTGCGGGCAGGACCATCCTCCTCCTGACATCCCCAGGGTCTAAAACAGGAGGGCTCAGGAATCTGCAGATTAGACTAGCTCGTGAATGACTGCCTGCAAGGTCCACAGAGGAGAGGCCTTGGTGGTGTGAGAAGAAGCAACAGCAGAGCCACCTGCCTGGCTGGGAGGTTGGAAATGGCTGTCATAAGGAATGGAGCCTTGAACTGAAGGATGAGAAGCTGTTACCCAGGCAAAGACTGAGGAACATCCCCAACACTGGGTTTGGTATGGGCCATGCGTTGGGTGAACTTGGTGCTAAAGACATGGTACAGGGAGACATATTCCTATTTTGAAAAGAGACACCCGGCTGCCCTATAGGAACAGACTACATAGGGGATTGAGAGTGGCAGCAGGGAGACAGATCAAGAGGCTGCTGCAGCCTCTCTGGTGAAAGGTGATAGGGCCTTGGTGCAGGTGTTGGTGGCGGAAATGGAGAGAAGCAATGGGATTTTAGATATGTCGTGAAAGGATAGGATTTTGTAGCTGCTTAAGGATGAAAAGGGTGAGAGAGGACAGAGTCTAGAACCGAATCCAGATTTCAGGTTCAGACAGCTGGGAGATGGCTAAGCTGGGGGACACGGAGGGAGGGCAGGTGTGCAGCCTGCTTCCTGAGAAGTGGCATATTGAGCAGGAGAGGTCCAGGAGGCAGGTGTGGGGCAGAGGAGAAGGCTGGACTGAGAAAGAGAAAGGAGTTTCCAGCACGTACGGGCTGGATGCTTAAGGCATGGGAGTTGATGAGACTCCCCAGGGACAGACTAGCAGGCCTGGGAACAACCATGAATAGGGAGTGAGCAAAGGATAAGAAATTTGCCATGTGGCAGCAAACCGTAAGATAGCAAGAAAATCAAAAGTGCACAGTATCCAGAAATACAAGGGCCTAAAAGTACCTCAAAGAGGAGGGAGTTATTTGTGTCAAAGCTGGCCACTGCTAAGGGGTCAAGACAGATAAGGACTTGTAAGCATCCCTTGGATTTAGCAACAAGGAGGTCAGTGGTGACCTTGGTGGGTTGTTCCTGTGGAATGGTGGGGGAGGAAGCTAGATTGCAGGGGCTGAGTGAGGAAGTGGAAACAACGTGTGTATACAACTCCTTCAAGAATGCTGGCTGCAGAGGGGAGCTGGAGAAGGATGTGGAGTGGAGGGAGGGCTTTCTTTTTTCAAAGATAGGAAAGGCTAGAGCTTCTTTGTCTGCTGATGGGAAGAAGTCTTCAGGGAGGGAGAGGCTGAAGATATGGAAAATGGTTGAAGATAGGGAAAAAAAGAAGGGATTAGGGGAAGGAGATTCCCCATGGAGGAAAAAAAGATTAAATTCCCAAATATGGCTGCACAACCTGGGGGGCAAGTCAGGACCTGTTCTGGGCTCTGGGGGCTCAGAACAGCTGCCCACTCTCCCCAGCAGCCAGTGTGAGTCACTGGAGGGGAAATAGCCCAAACTGGCAATGTGGGAAGGGGAGCTGGGCCAGCATGTTCCTTAGGATCCCCAGGGATCAGGGAGGAGCCAGGAGCAGCCTGGGCTCTGAGCCCTGAACCCCATGCCCTGAGCTGGACAAGGACACACAGAAGGGTTGTCTCACCTTTTGTAAGAGCAGGCAGAGTTGTAGAAAGCTTAGGTTTTACTTTTGGCTTTTCACTGCCCCATTGTGAACCTGTTGCCTCTTCTGCAAAAAGAGAGGGTTAAACAGATCGACTTTTCAGTTCCAGGGAAGGAAAGTGTCAGGACCAGGACTTTGCTGACGGTTTAGGGGGTCCTGGAGCCCCAGCAGCCTCCAACTAGAGTTGGCTGAGGAGCTGACATTTAAGCATGCAAAGAATTAGGGAAAAGGCTCCTATGAGGGCCATGGGAACAGGTCAGGGTGCATCTAAGCCTGGGAGAAGAGAAGGCCCTTTGAGGTGTGAGTTGTGCCTGAGCACACCATCCGGAATGTGTGAGGCCAGCCAGGAGCGGTGGCTCACGCCTACAACCCCAGCACTTGGGAAAGCGGATTGGGAGAGGGGCAGGCTGTTTGATCCCAGGAGTTTGAGACCAGCCTAGGCAACATGGCAAAACTCTCATCTCTACAAAAAAAACACAAAAAATGGCCGGGCGCAGTGGCTCACGCCTGTAATCCCAGCACTTTGGGAGGCAAAGGTGGGTGGATCACCTGAGGTCAGGAGTTTGAGACCAGCCTGGTCAAGATGGAGAAACCCCATCTCTATTAAAAAACAAAACAAAACAAAAACAAAAACACCAGGCACGGTGGCTCACGCCTGTAATCCTAGCACTTTGGGAGGCCGAGGTGGGTGGATCACCTGAGGTCAGGAGTTCACGATCAGCCTGGCCATCATGGTGAAACCCCATCTTTAAAATAAATAAATAAATCACACACACACACACACACACACACACACACACACAATTAGTCGAACTTGGTGGCATGGGCCTGCCATCCCAGCTGCTTCAATCCCAGCAGTCTTCCTGCAAAGGCAGGAGAATTGCTTGAGCCCTGGGAGGTTGAGAATGCAGTGAGTAGTGATTGTGCCACTGCACCCCAGCCTGGGTGACAGAGTTGAGACCCTAACGCAAAGAAAAGGCTGGGCTTGGTGGCTCAGCTATAATCCTAGATTTCGGAGGCCAAGGCTGGTGGGTCACTTGAGCTCAGGAGTTGGAGACCAGCCTTGGCAACATAGTGAATCTCTGTATCTACAAAAAATACAAAACATTAGCCAGGTGTGGTGGTGAGTACCTGTAGTCCCAGTTACTTGGGGGTCTGAGGCAGGAAGATCGTTTGAGCTCAGGAGGTCGAGGCTGCAGTGAGTTATGATCACCCCACTGTATTCTAGCCTGGATGACAAAGTGAGACCCTGTCTCAAAAAAAAACTGTTTGAGCAGGGTCTGGAGGCCCTGGGTGGGATAGGGTAGGGTTTTTCCAACGGGCAGCTGACCTTCCTGTCCCTGGTCCCCTCCTACTGCCTTTCCCTGTCCTTGCACTTCTGTCTTTGGCCCTGAGGAGTGTCTCTGGTGAACTTGGAGATCCGGTGACCAGCCCCCTCCCACTGAAGTGGCCAGTGGGGGCAGACCAGACTAGACCTCACGAGAGACCAGCTCTACCCCCACCTCCTCTGCCAGCTGACACCTCCTGGCCTCCTGCTAAAAACAGTCGGTCCCAGGGGGCCTATGGGTTTTCAGGCCTCCCCCTCCACGCCCAGGCAGGTATTAAAGAGGCCGAAGTCGGGCCAGACCGGCTGGACATCATGCTATTCACCGAGACTGCTCACTTCGTGGTGAATTTTCTTCTATCCCGGTGAGGGGGACCAAGGGAGGGCGCCCGCGGGATAAAGCGCCCTGGTTTGGCGGCTGGGGTAGGAGGCACCCAGGTCTTTGGGAAGGCCCCGCTAGGGGCCTCCAGTCCCTCTAAATCGACCAGGAGTGACTCCGGCCCGCGCCCTGCCTCATCCGATCCGAGGAAGCTCCCTCCTCCCCGCCTGTCCTGTTCTCCAGGGGTGACTGCTGTGCCATCTCCCCCGCAGGCGGCCCCGGGCCACAACCCCGCACCGCCTGGACCAGGAGTTGTGTTTCTGGGGCAGCCGGGGCCCAATGTTGCCGGTATCCGCCACCCGCCGCAGCCTGGGTGACTACTGGCTGAGCCCGCAGCGCCGCCACCCTCCGGGCGCCGCTTGGCGCTGGCCGGCACGCAAACTGCTACTGCTGCCCGGGGACACAGGCCTGGCCGACGTGCCCTCAGCACGCTGGCCCAGCTGCTACGGCGCACGCCCGAGACTCACGTGAGTGCGCGGGGGAGGGGCGGGGCGAGGACCCGGGTAGTAGACGGGGGGCGGGGCCTACGCGAAGAGGCGCGGTCTAGGGAAAGGGCGGATCCCCAGAGCCGAAGATCCCGGCCTGGGAGTGGGCGGAACTTGGTGGGAAGGGCGGGGCCTGAAGGCGACAGGGAGCGGAAGGAAGGAAGGGGCTGGGCGGAGTGGGCGCAGACCCGGAGGGAGAGGATCCTTGCCTGCACCCTGTCTTCGATTTCCCTTCCCTCCAGGTGGAAGCACCGTTGGCAGAATATTAACTACTATTTTCTGGGCAAAAGGAAGAGACACCTAGTTCCCTTGCGCCCGTGAGAGCCGGTGAGGGGCGGGACCACAGGGGGCGCGGTCGGTGGGCGGGCCCTCGTTGCGGGCAGGTCTGAGGCGGGGCCTAGCCAGAGGGCGTCGGGGAAGGGCGAGGCCCGAGCTCGACGTCGGCCCGCTGCAGACGAGGCCTGCGAGGCTTTAGGACCCTTGTGGGGTTGAGCCGCAACCAGAGGGGCTCGGTGTGCGGGGCGTGGTCTTAGCAGGGTTATTTTTCTCTGCGCTTCTTGGGCCTACACAAGCATACTTTTAAAAAGATTGACAAATTTGACTACTTAGAAATTTCTGTTCATCAGAAGACACCCCAACAAAGTAGAGGAGCCCCAAACAGGACTCCTCAAACAATACCAGCTCCGTGCCCGATGCAGGGAGTCAGGGACCAGGAAGGTGGTGCACTTGGGTGGGCACCAACTGGGTCAGCCCCAGGACAAAGGTGACTCCAGCCCTGGGCCTAGAAGCTAAGCTGAATGACGAAGGGAAAGGAGGCTCGGGGTTAGTTTGAATGGCCCCGTCGTGGCGATCATCCTGTGTGTCTCTGTTCACATTTCCGTGCATCTCTGAAAGTCCGTACCACCCTGAGTGTGGCTCTGTTTCTCTGTGTCCTATCTCTGATTTCTGTGTCTATTTATTTAGTCAACAAATATTTATCAAGGGCTTGGCTAGGCGTGGTGGCTCACGCCTGTAATCCCAGCACTGTGGGAGGCTGAGGTGGGCAGATTGCTTGAGACCAGGAGTCCATGGCAAAACCCCATCTCTACTAAAAATAGGAAAAATTAGCCAGGTGTGGTGGTGTGTACCTGTAGTGTCAGCTACTCCCGGAGGCTAAGATGGGAGGGTCACTTGAGCCCAGGAGGCAGAGATTGCAGTGAACCGAGATTGCACCACTGCACTCCAGCCTGGGCAATTGAGCAGAACTTGTCTCAAAAAGACAAAAAGAAGTATTTGCCACGGGCCTATTTTAGTGGTTTGTGACAGGTTTATACGCTGAGTTAATCACTGGGTTTACACTGGTGAAGCAAACAGTTGAGGTCCCTGCCCTCACGGAGCATACATTCTGGTGGGGAGACAGGCCATAAACTGGAGAAACAGTGTGATATGTTTGAGAAGAGGGCTGGGCCAGGTGCTACTTGATACGGGATGGGCAGGGACTAGGTCTTGTTCACAGGTTAGAACAGTGCCTAACACATAGCTGAGACACAGTAAATGCTGAAAGAATGCATGCATTGTCGAGAGATCTCCTCTGAAGAGGTAAGTCTTAGATGAGGCTAGGAAGGATAGTCAGCCACTTCCAGAGCCTGGAAGGAGTGTTCTAGGTGGAGGGAACAGTGTAGTCTAGTTGGTGACCATTTGCCTCTGGCTCTCTGTGCCTGGAGAATTGTGTTTCTGTGTCTTTTTTGTCTGTAGCTCTGTGATCATGGGAGCCCTGGGGCCAGTTTAAACAGGGCCCCATCAGGGCCTCTGGAAGTGAGGTCACTGTGCAGCAGATTCATCCCACTGGATAACTCTGGCTTAACTGGCTGGGCCTGGCCATTCCCCTGGAAGCAACTCCTCCCCCCAACAGCATCAGTCCCACGACCTCTGGCTCCTTCCCAGGGCAGCATCTTGCAGTCCGGAAGGAAGTTCTTCCTCCTGTCTAACCGCAGTCTCTGCTGAGGCAATCCCAGCCTTTTCCTCTCATTCTGCCTTGTGGGCAGAAGGGAGCAGATGGGCTGGCCCTTTAGCAACAGGTCCTGCCTGGACAGAGAGCCCAGTAAAGACCTGACAGAGTGGGGGTGACAACCCCCTGCAGCCTTGGGGAAGTGAACTTCAAAGGGCAGAAATAATCACTCATCTCAGAAGCTTCTTTCGTATCCATTATCTCATTTAATCAATTAACACCTACTTTATAGTCCAAAACTCAGGCAGGCGAGGGTGGGGGGTGGGGGGGAACAGCGGCAAAACTGGGACCAGAATCCAGGTCTCTTGATAAAATAGCAACAGTAATAATCACTATCAGTGCACACTTACTGTGCCAGGTTCTGTGCTAACTGCATGCATTTTATTCTTTAAGCCTCATCACATCCCCATGAGGCAGGCACCCTCATTATTCTTGGTGTCCTCAGATGAGGAGGTGGAGGCTCAGCACTGTTACACCATTTGTCCAAAGACACCCAGCCAGTTCATGGCAGGACAGGATTTGACCCCAGGCAGCCTGGCGTGCTCAGCCATGCTCCCTGGGCCCTGGGGATTCGGGAGGAGTGTCACAGATGTCTATTTTCCAGGGACTTGGGGAGACAGGCTTCAGGCTCCCTTGCATGATGATCCTGGGGCTGACCTGTGCCAAAGCTGAGCTGAGAAGGAAGATGGCCTGGACATGCAGCATGATCCAGAGTCTCCTCTGTGGACAAAGATGAGTCCCCTTTGCCCTCCCTCCTGAGATCTCTGTGGTTCTGCTCTTCATTTTCCAAATAAATTCTCTGCAACCTCACTCTAGCTCTCTCTACTTTGAGGGGATCTCAGTTTTTCCCATTGACACACACTGAGTTGACTAAACCAACATGGCTGGGAGGGCATCTGCCATCACCCCTTGACCCTCCCACCATGCCCACCCCACCCATGAGCCGCCCCCCACCCCCACCGGCCTGGATGGAAGAGGCCTGGTTCCTGCTCTCCTGACTCTTTTTTTTATTTTTATTTTTTTGAGATGGAGTTTCGCTCTTATTACCCAGGCTGGAGTGCAATGGCGCAATCTCGACTCACCGCAACCTCCGCCTCCTGGGTTCAAGCAATTCTCCTACCTCAGCTTCCCGAGTAACTGGGACTACAGGTTGCGGCACCATGCCCAGCTAAGTTCTGTGGTTTTTTTTTTTTCAGTAGAGACGGGGTTTCACCATGTTGACCAGGACAGTCTCAATCTCTTGACCTAGTGATCCACCTGCCTCAGCCTCCCAAAGTGCTGGGATTATAGGCATGAGCCACCGCGCCCGGCCCTTCTCCTGACTCTTAAAGTGCCTCGTTAAGAGGAGACCTGCACCAGCTGAGTACAGTGTTGCAGGAGGGTGACATTAGTTTGGGGCACAGTGGATCATCTGGTGGATCAGGAAACTCTTCTGGAGGGGACCCTGGAGCTGGATCTTGGGCATGCCTGGGAGCTGCATTCCAGGCAGAGAGGGGCATCGTGGAGAAAGGTTTGGGGATTTGTGAGACTGGCAGCCAAGTGGGCTTTGCCTCAAATGAGGCCGACTCAGGGACAGCTTCAAAGACCTTGAAAGCCGGTACAAGCTGTTATCCAGGCAGAAACTGAGCCATGAACAAGTTTAAAGCAGGGGAGGGAGGTGATAAGGCGAGTGGTCTCTGGCCCTTACCTAGGTCCAAGGCCTCAGGCACCTGTCCTTGTGCCCTCGCTTACCCACTCTCCCAGGTCCCATCCAGGACTGAGGCCTGGAGGGATTCCTCCCTCCCCCCGCTGCGCCCCCCCCCGCCCCCCCCCCCCCCGCCCCAAGCCTCCTTGCAAAGGTCTGGCAGAGGGTGTTGATGGCTAGAGGAAAGAGCTGCCCTGACTCATCCAATTACTGCTCAACAGTAGCCCCCACATAAGACCCCTTAGGGGCCGGGTGTAGTGGCTCATGCCTGTAATCCCAGCACTTTGGGAGGCCGAGGGAGGCGGATCGCCTGAGGTCAGGAGTTTGAGACCAGTCTGGCCAACATGGTGAAACCCTGTCTTTTACTAAAAATACAAAAATTAGCCAGGCGTGATGCTGGGCACCTGTAATCCCAGCTACTTGGGAGGCAGGAGAATCACTTGAACTCGGAAGGCAGAAGTTGCCTTGAGCTGAGATCACACAACTGCAACCCAGCCTGAGTGACAAGGGCAATACTCTTATCTAAAACAAAACAGAAAAACCCTATGACCTATCCTCTGCCCTTTACGGGCTCTCAGTCACATAAACAGGTGAGACTGGCAGCCAGGTGGGCTCCACCTAAAATGAAGCCAGCTCAGGGCAGCCCCACACCCAGCCCTCAGGAGCAGCAGCCACGTCCCTCCCTCCTTCAGCCCCTCTCCCTTCACGCAGAACCCAGTCCCCATCTCTGGGACTCTGCTCCAGGAATGCCTCTAGACTTCATCCTCTCCTGTTCTGTCCTCTTCCCTCACCTAGTTCAGGCCACCATTGCCTTTGTCTGGACCAGTCCAGTTGACTTTCTCTTGGGTTTCCTGCCTCCAACTCTGTCCTCTCTGATATGTGTCCACTGGGGCCTGTTTGTCTGTTTTACAGGTCCCTATGGGACATCCAGGCTGACCTCCAAGGGCACCAGGAGTTCTGGACAGAAATCTAGTCTGGAAATAGAGATTTCAGAGTAGCACATAGATGAGCTCATAGATACAGGAGAGAGAAGTGGTCGGTGGTCTCATTTTCTCTCTCCAACACAGATTCCTCTCCAGCCCATAGATCTAATGAGATCCCAAAAGCACCTCAGTTCAGCCTGGCCCAAACCGACCCCTCCATTTCCACACACATGCCGCTGCTCTTCCCCAGGCTTCCTCCATGGGGCTTGGCACCCCTTTCCGCCCATTTTTTCAAGCCAGACCTTTGGTACCCCTCAGCCTTCCGACCTCCCCACTCCCATGTTGAATCCTTCCCTGAGTCCTGCAGCTGCTGGTCCTGAACATCCCCCTTGCTCCTTTCCCTCTCCTTCCCTCTGCCTTTTGGCGGCATTTAACGTGGTGGCTCACTCACTCCCTCCGCAAGCCATTTCTTCCCTCCCACCTCAGCCTCCCAAAGGGCTGGGATTACAGGTGTGAGCCACTGCCCCCAACCTGGTTCTGCCTTCCCTTCTGGAGCCACTCTTTCTCTCTAGTGGATCCTGTTGAGCACTTGGCTTCAAATTTGGGATCACCCCCAAACTATTACCTGGAGATGGGGCCTTGCCTCTGCAGTCCAGACTCATATATCTATTAACTGGCAGCTGATGTCTCTACCAGGACTCGAATGGGCACCCAGAACTTCACCTCCAAAGCCACCCTCTTAAACGTCAGCACTGAGAGTAGGAAGAACAGTGAGCTCAAGACCCGTGGGTGCTGGCCAACTCTCCCTTCCCACTTGGATTCAGACCTCATCATCTCTGGCCTCGATTACGGCAACGGCAGGGAAGGACAGCCAGGCGGAGGAGATTTTGTGCAAAGGCAGGAAGGGGAACAAGGTTATGGCTTGGTGAGAAGCTCAGAGTGTGTTGTGGGGCTCAGATAGCAAATACCTTAAATGTAAGGCTCAGACTTTGTCCTGAGAGCAATAGGGAGCCACTGAAAGGTTAAAATCTGCTGGACACGGTGGCTCACGCCTGTAATTCCAGCACTTTGGGAGGCTGAGGCAGGTGGTTCACCTGAGGTCAGGAGTTCGAGACCAGCCTCACCAACATGATGAAACCCCATCTCTACTAAAAATACAAAAATTAGCCGGGCGTGGTGGCAGGCACCTATAATCCCAGCTACTTAGGAGGCTGAGGCAGGAGAATTGCTTGAACATGGAAGGCGGAAGTTGCAGTGAGCTGAGATTGCACTCCAGCCTGAGCAACAGAGTGAGACTCCATCTTAAAAAAAAGAAAGAAAGAAAGAAAAAAAAAGGTTGGCTGGGCGTGGTGGCTCAGGCCTGTAAGCCCAGCACTTTGGGAGGCCAAGTTGAGCAGATCACAAGGTCAGGAGATTGAGACCATCCTGGCCAACATGGTGAAACCCTGTCTCTACTAAAAATACAAAAAAATTAGCCAGGCATGGTGGTGTGAGCCTGTAATCCCAGCTACTTAGGAGGCTGAGGCAGGGGAATACCTTGAACCTGGAAGGTGGAGATTGCAGTGAGCCAGGATCGAGCCACTGCACCGCAGCCTGGTAATAGAGCAAGACTCCATCTCAAAAAAGAAAAGAGAAAGGTTAAAATCCAAGGGGAGCACATTTGTTTGTACATTTCTGTCACAGCTTCATTCATTCCTTCCCTCATTTACTTCAACAAATAGCCACTGAGCACCCTCTATTAGAAAGTGACTGTGAGGCTGGGCGCGGTGGCTCACGCCTGTAATCCCAGCACTTTGGGAGGCCGAGGCAGGCGGATCACGAGGTCAAGAGATCGAGACCATCCTGGTCAACAAGGTGAAACCCCATCTCTACTAAAAAATACAAAAATTAGCTGGGCGTGTGGTGCATGCCTGTAGTCCCAGCTACTTGGGAGGCTGAGGCAGGAGAATTGCTTGAACATGGGAGGCAGAGGCTGCGGTGAGCCAAGATCCCACCCACCACTGCATTAGAGCCTGGCACCTGGTGACAAAACGACTCTGTCTCAAAAAAAAAAGAAAGAAAGAAAGAAAGTGACTCTGAGACAATGGAGAATGTCCGGAGGGGCAGGGCTGGTTCGCAGAGAGATCAGTGAGAAGGAGATGACAAAGCCCAGCCCAGGTGAATGAAGCATCTTCCCAGGGTAGTGGACATGGAGAGGAGCAATGAGCTGAGATCAGCCAGGTTCCTGGCTTGGGCAGTGGAGGACATAAGTAAGGTGTGAGAGATGCCGAGCCCAAAGCCCAGGGTGATGGAGGCTATGGTGGGAAGAGCCAGTCCTTCCTCCTGGGGACTCTGAAAACCTCTTTGGGAGTGGTTTGATCTGGGTTTTAAGAGAAGAGTAGGCCAGGCATGAAGGCTCACGCCTGTAATCCCAGCACTTTGGGAAGCTGAGGCAGGCAGATCACCTGAGGTCAGGAGTTCAAGACCAGCCTGGCCAACATGGTGAAACCCATCTCTACTAAAAATACAAAAATTAGTGGGGCATGGTGGTGGGCGCCCATAATGCCAGCTACTCGGAAAGCTGAGCTGGAGAATTGTTTAACTCTGGAAGGTGAAGGTTGTAGTGAGGGGAGATGGCACCACTGCACTCCAGCCTGGGCAACAGAGTGAGACTCCATCTCAGAAAAAAAAGATAAAGGGAATTTAAGGAGAGCACAGAAAGATGAAGTATGTATTTGGGGGGGGTGGGGGCTGGGGGACATTCCAGAGTATATTTCTTGGGAGAAGGTCACTAAAAGGAGGTCCCAGGGGACACTTATGGGGTACAAGAGGAAAGGGAGAGAATCGTCAGGATTCTGAGGAAGAGGCACATTCCTTTCTCATTTAAGAAATTGATTCAGGCCAGTTGCGGTGGCTCACGCCTGTAATCCCAACACTTTGGGAGGCCAAAGTGGGAGGATCACTTTAGTCCAGGAGTTTGAAGACCAGCCTGGGCAACATGGTGAGACCCTGTCTCCATGGAAAAAAAAAGAATTGGGCATGACAGTGTGCACTTATAGTCCCAGCTACTTGGGAGGCTGAGGTGAGAGGATCACCTGAGCCCAGGGAGGTCAAGGGGCCACAGGGCTGACTCAGGGTAATCCCAGGTTCCCAGCTCCCCTCCCCAGGGCAGAAAGAGGAGAGAGGACGAGAATGGGAAACTGTTGCACACCAAGTTTGTGTCAGGCACCGTGCCCCGGAATTTTATGTAGCAGCCCTGAGGAACATTATTGAAATCCTCCAGTGTGGTCTGCTCCTCTGGGTTTTAAGGACTTTCCTTGATGCTGCTAACTCATGTATTTCACAACAACCCCACAGAATGAGTACTATTGTCATTCCCATTTTATAGATGAGGGTACTGAGGCTCAGAGAGGACCTAAAGTCACTCAGTGGCAATGAAGCCAGCTCTTCACCACAACCACCACCTCAACACAACAAAACCTCACTGAATCTTCACAACCACCTGAAGCGGCTCCCAGTGTCTTCATTTTAGAGTGGGCGAATGGGGCTAGCTAGGGGAAGGGACCTGTCCAGGACTGCAAAGCTGGAAGGTAGAGTAGTGTGGGCTTGGATCATTTAGGGAAAGAGGCAGAATACGAGAGGTGGTGGGGTGAGATTGGGGTGACGTAGAAAGGGGTGGGACTGGGGACTAGGCTAGGAGGGAGTTTCAGTGTCTTTTTAATGTTGGTGTTGTTTCGAGATGGAGTTTTGCTCTGGTTGTCCAGGCTGGAGTGCAATGGGGTGGTCTTGGCTCACTGCAACCTTCACCTCCTGGGTTCAAGTGATTCTCCTACCTCAGCCTCCCTAGTAGCTGGAATTACAGGCATGCACCACCACACCCAGTGTTTTTAGTAGAGACGGGGTTTCACCATGTTGGCCAGGCTGCTCAAACTCCTGACCTCTGGTAATCCGCCTGCCTCAGAGTCCCAAAATGCTGGGATTACAAGCATGAGCCACCATGCCTGGTCCAGTTTCTCTTTTGAAGGGACTTCCCATAAGGGGGGGATTTTGGTTGGAAATTTGTAAGCAACCCATGTTCCACTGGTTTGGCCACTCCTTCCAAAGACACCCAGGATCTGTAAAGAAACTGAAAGTCAGAAAGAGGTGAGGAGGAGGAGAGGGTAGGCTCCGGGCAGCCTAGATAAACTGGGTTGAATTTCTGGTGACCTCATCAAGCCTGGGGGAGGTCAGCAGGTGAGCTGGGATTACAGGCCTCTTTGCTACTGGGGAAACTGAGCCCCAGAGAGACAGCTTTATCAGATAGTGGCTGGGCCTCATCCAGTCTAGGCAACCACCACACATACACATGTGTGTGCATGTGCATGCACACATACAACCAAGGGAAGTGGGAGGGAAAGGGAGAAAAAAAAGGTCTGGGTAGCCCAAAATTCTGAAAGAAACTTTCAAAATCCCTGTCCTTATGAGTTGGTCACTGTCTGGATGGCAGTTCCCAATGAAGGGCCCCTGAAGTGCCCCCATATCCAGAGCAGGGTTCAAGGCCTGTCACTGGCAGGGACGCTGTGTACCTGGGTCTTGCTGACAACCACACCAGGAGCCAGGGAGCCCAGGCGCATGAGAAGCAGTGCCGGTTCCGCAGAGTCCAGTCCCTGGGGCAGGCCCTGCAGGTGCCTGGGCTCTCCTTGCCAACACCTCTGGCAGCTCCTCTCGGCCTGGGGCTCGGAACCCGCTCTGGATGCCTCCAGCTGGCCCTAGCACGACAGGCGCCTCAGCGCTCTCGAAAACCACCTTCCCCTAGTTGTGGCCTTCTTTCCTCCTCTGGAAATGGGGACAATGGTGGAACACATCTCACAGGGTCAGAGGGAACATGTGGAAAGCAGCTGGCACAGGGCTTGGCATACAACAAGCACGAAACCAACGCCAGCAGCAGTGATGGTGATTGCTGTCTGTTCTTCCTGCCTTTAAAAACATTTATTTATTTACTTTTGAGACAGTTTCGCTCTGTTGCCCAGGCTGGAGTGCAGTGGTGCTATCTCTGCTCACTGCAACCTCCACCACCCTGCCATCCCTCAGCCTCCCAAGTAGCTGGGATTACAGGTACACACCACCACGCCTGGCTAATTTTTGTACTTTTAGTAGAGACAGGGTTTTACCTTGTTGGCTGTGGCTGGTCTTGAACTCCTGGCCTCATGTGATCTGCCTGCCTCAGCCTCCCAAAGTGCTGGGATTACAGGCATGAGCCACTGTACCTGGCCTATCTTATTTTTTGTAGAGATAGGGTCTCGCTATGTTATAACCCAGGCTGGTCCTAGACTTCTGGGCTCAAGCAATCCTGCTGTCTTGGCCTCCCAAAATGCCGGAATTACAGGTGTGAAGCACCGTACCCTGCCCTCCTTCCTGCCGCCTTTTTTTTTTTTTCACTCTGTCACCCAGGTTAGAGTGCGCACCATCACACCCAACTAATTTTTGTGTATTTTGATAGAGATGGGGTTTCACCATGTTGGCCAGGTTGGTCTTGAACTCCTGGCCTCAAGCGATCTGCCCACCTTGGCCTCCCAGAGTGCTGGGATGCACCCTGCCCACTTCCTACTTTTTAAAGATTCTTCCCATTGGTCTGCGCTCCAGGCTTTCTCCTGCCCCTAGTCTGCTGCTGGCTCCTTCCCAGGGCCCTCTCCTGTTGCTGCCCCACCAGTTCAGTGCTCCTGCCACCTAGGCACCTCCTGGGCGTCCTATGCACAGCTTGGCGGCCATTACCGTCTTATTGGCAGCAATCAGAGGCCCAGATTTCCGGGGGTCGGTCCTGACTTAAACCTTCTGTTCATTGTCCCTATAAGGTCACTAGTCAGAATTTAGGCCCTAGCCTTTGGCTCAGGAAATGTGGTTGCATATCAACGTGGTGAAGTATACAGACTTCAGGCTGCCTTCTGGTCATCCCCCTGAATCTTCCTTGGACACTGCAAATGCAACAAGGCTAGATTCAGCAGCTCCTTCCCACGTTCTTTTTCTCTTTGATGGCCTATCTCTGCTGACAGGCCCAGTTCACCCACTATGACCCCGAACAGAAAAGCAGGTGGCAGCAGCATCCAGTCCCTGCACCCAGCCAGTTACCAAATCCGGGGGATCCCATCTCCCAAACCATGCTCCAAAAAAGTCCTCTCTTTACCTCTGCACCTTCGCACCTACCATTCCTGTTCTCATTCTGTCCTGCTCTGAGCTCTTCTCCATGCTCTTCCTCCTTCAGGCAGCCCACAGGTCGTTCATCTAATGCTGGATCTGGCTTTCTTCTCCCCTAAGACATGGCCTGTCTCTTCTCTCCCACCCCACCACAGAAACCCCTGAGGGCTGGGACCCTGACTGACTCACCACTTACTCTTAGATGTCTAAGTGTGAGCAGAAACAGGAACTCCAGTCAGTATCTGCAACTATGAATCACAGGACCAAACCTCTCACTGTACAGATGAGCAAACTGAGGCCAAAGAGGAGAGGACTGGCTCATGGTGACAGCAGGAAGAGGCTGATGTGGGGCAAGAACTGAGGTCTCCAGGTCCAGCTGATGCCCCCCAGAAAGAGATGGGGACTGGGGCTGTGCCTAGTCGCCGTTCCATAGGGCCTCCATTGGGACCTCTGATGTCTCTTCCCAACTCGAGGCCTTTACATATGCTGGTCCTTCCGCTTGGAAGGCCCACCCCTCCATCTCTGCCTACATATTGCCCACTCACACCTCCCCTGGCATCTAATCCGGTCCTTGACACAAGGTTCTGAGGCCTGAGAGGCCTCAAAATATCCCCCAGCCTCCTTTATGGGGCATCATTTCTGCTGCCCCCCTTCCATCTTCAGCACTGCCCTGCATCTCCCCAGAGGTCCCAGCTTTCCTGCCAGGGAAATTCATTCCCTGCTGTCGGTGCCTGACTCATGGCAGGGCCGGGAGCATCTCAGGCCAGGGCTAAGGCCAGAGTCCTTATGAGGAGAACTGGAACAGATTGAGTTGTATGAACGTGGGGTCTCTGGTCTCTGCAGCTTCCCTTCCCCCATCCATCCCAGGGTCATCCTGTCCTTCCCATTCCTCCTTTCTTTATTTTCTCTTTCTTTTTTTTTTGAGACACAGTTTCGCTCTTGTTACCCAGACTGGAGTGCAATGGCGCGATCTCGGCTCACCGCAACCTCCGCATCCTGGGTTCAGGCAATTCTCCTGCCTCAGCCTCCTAAGTAGCTGGGATTACAGGTGCGCACCACCGTGCCCAGCTAATTTTTGTATTTTTAGTAGAGACAGGGTTTCACCATGTTGCCCAGGATGGTCTCGATCTCTTGACCTCGTGATCCACCCGCCTCAGCCTCCCAAAGTGCTGGGATTATAGGCGTGAGCCACTGCGTCCGGCTCCCCCATTCCTCCTTTCCCTGTCACTCCATCCTGGCAAAAGCCCACACCTCAAAGGTGTGGTTCTGACCACCACAGTGACAGCCTCAGTGACCCACTGAGGCACACACAGCCCCCCATGGGAACACTCACCCAGACATAAAGGAGCCACTCTTTTCTCCACACACTCAGATATTCCCCGAACTCTGGGCTTAAGCCTCCCAAAGCACCGGGGTTAGAGGCGTGAGCCACCACGCCCAGCCCATAGATATTCTCTCATACGGCCACACACTCATAGTTTCACAGTCTCAGAACAGTCACCAACAGTCTCAAGGAAGGGCAGGCACATAGCCAGTGAGTCTGTCACCAGGATCACCACGCTCTCTCCTTCGAATGTACAAGGCCAAACAAAGATGCAGATGCACACAACCACAAACGTGCACACCTGGGCACACACACACAGCCATGAAGTCTCACAGACAGACACAGAGCAATACACACAGCCGCACACAGAGGGAAACAGATACACACAGTTGCACACAGGCTCCCGGAGACGCAGAACAATGGGCGCATTGTCTGGGTTGGCAGCAGCTGGGGAGGAAGGAGCCGCAGTGTGGACGGAGGAGGCCATGGGGCTGCTGAACCCTTCCACCCCCACCCTGAAGCATCCTAAACCTCTTGCCTCTTCCAGAAGTCAAATTCTGCTGGGACCTGGATTTGCTGAGGGCTGAGGCTCCCAAGCACCCCCTCCCCAGCCTCCTGGGATGTCTGGTGAGGATGCAGAGCCTCCCCTGGGGACCATGCTCCCTCTAGGGCTCTGGGGACTTAGGGTCTTTCACCCTGAGGCTCCTCGATGCTCCTCCTGGGCTCCTTGGGAACATTTGCCTCTCATCCTGCCAGGCAGTGCCTGGGGATCAGAAGCCTTAGGTTCTGCTCTTAACCTCTGACCCCAACCCCTCCAAGACTCACCCTTCCTCCATCTGAGCCTGGCCAGCTGGTGCGGGCAGCGCCTGGCAGCATTGTGGGTTCCCCATTGTGGCTGAGACAGAGAGCAGGATATGACATCCATCCCTTGGTGGCAGTCGGTGGAGAAGTCACCGTATTTTCAGTGAGCTGCAGTGGGGGCACGGTACCTCTCGATGTTCCAAAGTAGCCCTTGTCTCCCACTCTGACCAGGCAGCCCCAGATCTCAACAGGAAATTCTGCCAGGGGATTCCTTACAGCCCTTGGCCCATGTTATCAGATCTCTCCAAACCTTTTCTTACCCTCAGCTACTGGTAGCTGCTGTGCGCCCTTGGGCACGTCACTTTCTCTTCCTGAAACTCTGTGTCCCAGTCTGTGAAGTGAGGCGGGGGTCGGGGCAAGTGAAGGTGAGAGTAGCTGAGGGTATTCTGTAGTCTTAGGGTGGGGGTGGGGATGGAGGATACCAGAGTGCAGAATCTAGAAGCCACCTCAGCCCTCTGTGGTCAGATCTCTGGGGAGTTCCCAATTTCTCAGGCCCTGGGGTGTCTCCACACTTCACAGCCTCAGGCCTCCCAGGAGGCCTCGTCCGTAGGAGGGAGGGGAGGGACTTGCTGAGCTGGCTGGGATGCAGCCTTGTATTTGCAACACTTTGCTTCCTCCAGCCTCCATCCCTTTCCTCCGGGGGGCTGAAGACCGGCAGCTGGACACAGACATCCGGGGCCGGCCAGGACTCTGGGGTTCCCACCAGCCTAACCAGGCCAGCAGGAGAGGTAGCAGAGGACCAGAGCCAGGGAGTCTCCAGCCACCCCCACCCTGCCTCCAGGCTCTCTTGCTCTCCGGCAAGGTGAGAGGCAGGGTTGAGCAGCCTTGGGGGCTGGGAGGGACCCTTGGTGGCATCCTGTCCCTCCCTTTCAGAAACTGGGGTGTTTTGAGGTTTGTTGAGTCCCCAGCTGGGGTTCCTCTGCCGGCCTGGGGCACCCTGACTTAAGGGAGCAGAGCTGTGTGTGGGGTAAAGAGGAAGGACAGGTCCGACAGGTCGCCAATGCCTCTGAGCCTCCAACGGGGATGGAGATGCCCGTCAAGGTCACAGAATCCCCAACATGGGACTTTTCAGTGGGACCAGGCTGAGGGCAGGAGGGGCTGAAAGCGAATCTGTCTGTCCTCACTCAGAATGGCCACCAAGAGACTGAAAGGAGGAATGAGGGACAGGCCTCCCTAGTCTGACCAGAGCGACCTCGAGGCAGGTCAGAGCACCCCCGCTCCCCGGCTGGCCGCGGCAGGCAAGCAGGGACATGGGTGGGACCTCTGACCGCTCTACAGGCCGGAGGGGGTGCCAAACCCAGCGCAGGGGCCCTGCGGCTTCGTTGGCCACATTTTCTGGAGCATAATTCAGGATAGGCCATCTGACGAGTCTCGTGGTGTGAGCCCTTCGAAGGGTTCGAGCGGGAGACTGACAGCAGCTGCAGGACCAAGGCGTTGGGGGCCACTCCAGGCTGCGGGGGCGCCCACCCTGGGAGGTGGAGCGGAGTGGAAGGAATGACTGCCCGTCCCCTTCCTCTAGACCCCCGCTCCGCCCCGCCCAGCTCGCGGGAGGACTGGCCTTACTCCGGCCCACACGAGACTCTACCTGCCCCTGGGAGTCGGGTGGGGTGGAGGGACCCGACCGCCAGCGTCGCCTGCTGCGCAAGTGGGGCCTGCGAGGCGACCCCGCCTCCGCCCCTCGATTGGGCGCTCATTTAAATGTCCGGCCCCGCCCCGAGCTCGGGCGCGTATATATAGGCAACTCGGCGGGCGGCGGGCGGCATTCTGGCGCGGAGCGGAGCGGTAGCGGGCGCAGCTAGCGGGTCGGCCGCGGAGCGGAGGTGCAGCTCGGCTTCCCCCGACACCCCTCCCCCTCGGGCGCCAGCCCCACCCCTCTGCCGGCCGGGCCGACCCCGCCGTACTATCCCCTGCGGCGCGAGCCCGGGGCGGCTCCGGGCGCCCCCCAGCAGACCCCCATCATGGGTAGCCAGAGCTCCAAGGCTCCCCGGGGCGACGTGACCGCCGAGGAGGCAGCAGGCGCTTCCCCCGCGAAGGCCAACGGCCAGGTGGGTACGCTCGGCCCGGCCGGCGCCAGCCCCCTCCCCTCGCACCTCGCCCCCTCTAGGGCCCGGGGCCGGGGCCGCGCGCTTTGTCCGGCCCGGGACACGCGGCGCCCCCTCCCCCGCCCGGTCCCTTTGTTCTCGGCGCCGCAGCCCCCGCGGGCGAAGCGAGGGGAGGGGCGGGGAGGGGGCGCCGGCCGGGCCCCGCCGCCTTCTTTGTTCGAGGCCCCGGCCCCCGGCGCTGCCCCCCGGCCGCCCCGAGTGCCGCGCGAGGAACAAAGGCGCTGCTGGGCCACGCCAAGGGGGCGCCCAGGGCCGCGGAGCTGGGGCCCGGCGGGGAGCGCACTCCACCCGCAAACCCGACCTTGGTGGCCCACGGTCTTTTTTTTTTTAAGGGGGAGCCGAGACGTGGGAGAGCCTGGGGTGGGTGGGGGCCGTTTACACAAAGCGGGAGGCTGGGAAAATAGGCCGTCCAGGTGCAGAGAGACAGCGCCCTGGGGCGGCTTCCCGCCCAATGTCGCCTAGAACGGCTCGCCTGCCTGCCCGGGATCCGCACAGAAGATCCGGAGCGGTTCCTCGCGGAATAGAGAGCGCACCCCGGGGGACGGGGGTGGGGGCCACAGGACCCCAGCGCCTCCTGCCGGACGCGGCCTCTGCGCACTCGGTCCCCGCGCGCTCGTGAGGGGAGAGAGGGAGGTGTTTGACGGGATCCTAGGTGTGGGGTGAGGCTGAAGCCAGACTTTCGGGTTGCAGTAGAATCGAATCGGGGACTCCTTCATCTAGAAGGGATCAGAAGCGGGCGGGGGGAGGGGGAAACCCTGCCCTCATTGCTGTCCCCTCTGCCCTGCAGGAGAATGGCCACGTGAAAAGCAATGGAGACTTATCCCCCAAGGGTGAAGGGGAGTCGCCCCCCGTGAACGGAACAGATGAGGCAGCAGGGGCCACTGGCGATGCCATCGAGCCAGCACCCCCTAGCCAGGGTGCTGAGGCCAAGGGGGAGGTCCCTCCCAAGGAGACCCCCAAGAAGAAGAAGAAATTCTCTTTCAAGAAGCCTTTCAAATTGAGCGGCCTGTCCTTCAAGAGAAATCGGAAGGAGGGTGGGGGTGATTCTTCTGCCTCCTCACCCACAGAGGAAGAGCAGGAGCAGGGGGAGATCGGTGCCTGCAGCGACGAGGGCGAGGGCACTGCCCAGGAAGGGAAGGCTGCTGCCACCCCTGAGAGCCAGGAGCCCCAGGCCAAGGGGGCAGAGGCTAGTGCGGCCTCAGAAGAAGAGGCAGGGCCCCAGGCTACAGAGCCATCCACTCCCTCAGGGCCGGAGAGTGGCCCTACACCAGCCAGCGCTGAGCAGAATGAGTAGCTAGGTGGGGGCAGGTGGGTGATCTCTAAGCTGCAAAAACTGTGCTGTCCTTGTGAGGTCACTGCCTGGACCTGGTGCCCTGGCTGCCTTCCTGTGCCCAGAAAGGAAGGGGCTATTGCCTCCTCCCAGCCACGTTCCCTTTCCTCCTCTCCCTCCTGTGGATTCTCCCATCAGCCATCTGGTTCTCCTCTTAAGGCCAGTTGAAGATGGTCCCTTACAGCTTCCCAAGTTAGGTTAGTGATGTGAAATGCTCCTGTCCCTGGCCCTACCTCCTTCCCTGTCCCCATCCCTGCATAAGGCAGTTGTTGGTTTTCTTCCTCAATTCTTTTCCAAGTAGGTTTTGTTTACCCTACTCCCCAAATCCCTGAGCCAGAGGTGGGGTGCTTATACTCCCAAACCTTGAGTGTCCAGCCTTCCCCCATTGTTTTTAGTCTCTTGTGCTGTGCCTAGTGGCACCTGGGCTGGGGAGGACACTGCCCCGTCTAGGTTTTTATAAATGTCTTACTCAAGTTCAAACCTCCAGCTTGTGAATCAACTGTGTCTCTTTTTTGACTTGGTAAGCAAGTATTAGGCTTTGGGGTGGGGGGAGGTCTGTAATGTGAAACAACTTCTTGTTGTCTTTTTTTTCTCCCATTGTTGTAAATAACTTTTAATGGCCAAACCCCAGATTTGTACTTTTTTTTTTTTTTCTAACTGCTAAAACCATTCTCTTCCACCTGGTTTTACTGTAACATTTGGAAAAGGAATAAATGTCGTCCCTTTAGTGGTGCTTTAATGAGTGGTCTTCTGTGGGTAGGGTGAGAAGATTGGTGGAAACTAGTTCACCTCAAGCCTCGAGGGAGGAGTTAAGGCAGGCAGGTAAGTTTTATGGGGTTTTCTTGTTCAGGGGGTTGCCCCAATACTCATGGACACCAGAAGGGCAGGGAAGTAGAGTTGAAACAAACTTAGAGACACATAAGAAACAAGCTCAGGAGGATATAGAAATGTACCATTTTATTACAAAGAGGCTCACAAAAATGAAAATAGTATCTCAAAAAGGAAAACTAGACTACCTCCTCCACCTGCAGAATTAGGGGAAGACAGAGGGCAGGCAGTGCGACTTTCTTGGCTCACTTGAGGCCAGTGGGAAGGTATGAAAACAGAACCAATCTAAAAATGGCTGATGTTACCTTAGGAGCCTGAAGAGAACAGGAGATCCTTGAAAACCCAGCCACCCCTTCTATAATGTTCAATAAGGGCGCCTTTCCAAAGCTACTAAGCAGGCACTTGGCATTTCAGGATTTTGTCTTATGGTTGCATAAAAGTATCCCTTTCACTTAGACCTGGCACCCTTTGTGGTTCAAAGTTAAGATGGGTGGCAAGGCAACTCCTGAAAGCTCACCCAGTACAGCTGCCCTGGGCTCAGAGCCTTGGTTTCTGTCCCTGGGGATATTTATATTTAATAAATTTTTATATAAATACACAGAGAAATAGAAAATATAAAATCTGAGGGGTTAGAGGAGAAAGGTGAGGGACTCGGCAGGAAGCCAAAGCTGGAGAGGTCTGCTTAGGCCAACTTGACCTCCTCTTTGACCCTGTGGAGAAAGCAGAGACTGGCATGAGATGACCCACCCCAGAGCTTCGGGGCAAAAGTGCAGAGACTGACTTCCACAGGATCCCAGGTGACTACTGGGGGCTGGAGCTTCCTAGCTCTGCCTAGAACTGCAGAGACAGACTGCTCCCTCAATGAGGCCTTTGTAAGCTGGACCAGCTGTCGCTGTGCCTTTCCTCAGAGTGGTGGGACAAAGGGGCTGGTGCTCCAATGCCAGGGAGATGGCCACAGGCAACTCCTTCCTCACCCTTTGGCTTCTGGCTTCTCCTCCTTGGTTTTCTCCTCTTCTGTGACTTCTAGAACATAAGAGTACAGGGATGGCCAAGGGTAGCCCCTCTGGAAAGCCCCATGAGGTCTTCATTTACCCTAAGACCCCTTCCCCAACACTCCAGCTCACTGGACATACGAAAGAGAAAAGCCCATCCCTGGTCCTCCCAGTGAGCCCTGTTGAGAACAGGTTGGACCGGTTTCCCAGCCTGCTACAGCCAGAACCTAGTGGGTGGAGGCAGCCCCCTGGGAAACTGGGGTGCAGTGCTGGGAAAAGGGGTTGGGTGGTATGTGAGAGCTGAACTCAGCCAGTAGAAGTTCATTGTTTTGTGGGCCCTGCCACTTCTGGGAGCCACTGAAAGGCTCAAGGAGCTGAGGAAGAGCCCCACAGGAGCTGGCAGGGCCTGAGTCACTCCCTCCTCCCACTGCCCTACATAGATTCATCCTCCCAGTCTCAAGACCCAAGTCCCGGCTGAACCCAAACCCACCTTTCTTCTCCTCTGGCTCTTTCTCTTTTTCATCCTCTGTTTTGACTCTCTTGGCTTTTTTGAAGTTGGAAGAGTTCTTGCGGCCCCCCTCTCCCTCCTCTTCAGAGTCTGAGAACTCTTCCTCACAGGCAATTCGTTTGTCAGAGGAGCAGACTGGGCAGGAGTGGGAAGCATGGGTGAGAGGCAGGCGGGTGCCGATCTAGCTTAGCATCTGTGCCCAGTGCTTCCCTGCGTGTCCTCCAAGAGACACCAAAGGAGAGGGAACCAGAGAATAGGGAGGAACTCAAGCTTCCTAACTTGTGCCTACAGGCACTGGAACTAGAAACAAATTTCTGAACAGGTGGAGAGCTTGGAGGAAATGTGCAGCCAGGAATGGTGGTGGAAGTCGGAGCTGCCTACTGAGTGGAAGGCACAGGGCTCTGGGTCTAGGTCTTACTCGAGATGCGCTTGTCAGGGTCTTCTTCGTCTTCATCACCACTCTCCTCAGGGATGGCGTCCTCAGGAATCGCCTGCATTTGGACCCCAGGTGCATGCGGCAGCATCCTCAGGTTCTCAAACAGTCGCTGTCTGTGGCCAATGGGAGAGTAGTAGGGCTCTGGTCAGGGACAAACCAGAGTCAGGAATGTTCAACCTAGGAGTGGCCGGAGGATATACTCACTTGATCTTCTCCAAGTACTCATTCGTGTTCTGGTTAGTCATATTGGAAGGACTGATGTGGAGCTTGAAATCTGGTCCAAAGTATTCGAAGTAGTCGTTGTATGGAAGCTCTGATTGGGGCAGGGGAGAAAATAGTCAAGAGACCTTGCCGCCACGGCACCCCAAGTAAATCATTGGTAGGTTTCTCTGGGCCCGTTTATACATCTGTCAAACAGAGAAGAATGCCTCCAAGACATGGTGAGACATGGGTACCTATGGGATTTCCATCTCTTGAACACCACTCTCCTATGTCCTTAACAGTGGTATATATGTTGCTAGAAGGCCCAAGCCCCTGGTTAGGACGCTTGAGGCCATGCTCATTCTGAATGCTCCCTTCACTCACTACTCCAGTTACTCTACAGAGTAGAAATTCCAAAGCTGTAAATGACCACTGAGAACTGCAAAAGCAGGAGGGAAAGGGACAGAGCTAAAAAGGACTCAAGGAAGGTTGGGCACAGTGGCTCTCGCCTGTAATCCCAGCACTTTGGGAGGCCAAGGCAGGCGGATCACCTGAGGTTAGGAGTTCAAGACCAGCCAGGCCAACACGGTGAAACCCTGTCTCTAAAAAAAGACTCCGGGAAAAAGTGATGGTTATGGTCTATTGATCACAAGAGGACAGGCAGGGGACTCAATGACCAGTATCAGAAGAGGAAAAGGCATGTGACCAACAGGGAAGGTGTTAGGAACTTAAGGACACCTGAGCTCCAGCTCCTGCCCAGCCCAGCTGAACCTGGCCCTGGAGCTATTACCATTAGGGATCTCCGTATCCAGGGCCACAGCTGTCTCGTACGTCCAGCATCGGGCGACATTACGAATGGTGTAACCACCTCCTCCCAGCATCAGCATAGGCAGGTTAAAGCTCTTGACAAATTCCACACACTTGGCGTGCCCTTTGGTGGGAGAAGGGGTGCTGAGTTATTACAGGAGTACCAACCAGGACCCCGCCCACCCATCCTTGTGCTATCTGGTCTCACCTTTGATGGTCAGATTGAAGCAACCTAACCGATCCCCAGATAGGGAGTCTGAGCCACACTGTAAGACCACGGCACTAGGCTGGAACATCTCCATTACTTTGGACATGACCTAAAATGATAAATCCTGGTCACCACCAACCTCAAGAAAGCAATGTGAGGTTTGGGATGGAAAGGCTGGGTGCAACACTTTCTCCCCCACTCCTACCTTTCCGCTCTCCCTCATGCTATATGGGAGAGAAAAGGGAGTACCAGGCTGGAGCTCTTGCTTCCCTAATCCAAGACCCTTCTTACTCTACTAACACTGAACCTAGAATGGCCTCCATGTCAACTCCCTAAATCTCTTCTTCTATTGCCCAAGCTCTAGCGCCACTTCCTCCAGGAAGCCTTCCTGACCCTTAGCCGGATCTACTCTACTCATTTGGTCTTACAGACTTGGAGCCTTACATTATGAGCAAGCACTCTTGGTTTATCTTATTTTCACAACCAGAGTCTAACATTAATGAGACAGAGACCATAACTCCCACTTCTGTAGCCCTTACTAAATACTAGGCACACAGTAGGGAGTCAGTGTTTGCTGAATGACTACCTGACCTTATTAGGTTAAACAGTTTCTTATTGCTTATAAGTGAAGATTTAATTCCTCAGCATGGCATTCAAGGCTCCCTTTGAAACACTGAGCCCAGCATACACTTCCCATCACCTCCTTAAGCATGCCTCCCACATACCACAGTGGCCTACATGCTGCCACACTGGCATATCTGCACTTCTGCTGGTGCTGGTCCTTCTACTGAATGCCACCCTTACTGCTGTCACCTCCTTCTTCACATGGGTACCTTCTCGTTTTTCGAAGTCCAGCTTAAACATCACCACCTCTGTGAAGTCATCCCTGACTACCCTCCTGCCCGCCCAGGCAGGAGTCTATCTCTCACTCCTCTGACCATCCCTCAAAAACACAGGCACTAGGCCAGCCTGCCCATGGAACAGGCCAGAGAGCCTTTCCACAATCTCTGAATGGGCTGACTGGTGAAGGGCTTTCCCAGACAAAGCCAATCTGCAAAGACTGGAGTAAGTCCCTACTTCTTCAAATGTGCAGACATCAGTGTAAGGCAACGAGGAACATGAAAAACCAAGGAGACATAGCACTACCAAAAGAACACAATCATCTCCCAGTAGCCCAGAGAGACAGAGACACAAAACACTACTAACCACAGACTACTGGATATGTGCCTGCCTTTCCCACCATAGTCCATGAGGGCAAAGATCATGTCTTAGATATGTTTGTATCCAGCAGAAGACCTGACCCATAGAAGGAACCATCAAATATGGATGTTTGTTCCCCTAACTGACCACACAGCAATCCAGGGTTCAAACACTTCTATTTCCCCACCAGCTTTAGTAAGGAGAGATTCCTGAGGTATCATGGGGGTGTTCTGCTCCCCTGCCCTAGACCAATCCCCTTTTTGTAGCCCAAGGAGTGCATAAAGCCACTTACCGGCTTGAAAATGGCCTCATAGGACTCGTCATCAATCCCATCTCGGAGCGGGTAGTTAACAGCATAATACTTGCCTTTGCCAGCCCCGATATCCTAATTAAGAAGGACATGAAAGTAAAACTAAAGGATGAAGCTTAAAGGAAGGTCAGGGATGCAGGCTGGAGGGATAAAGGAAGAGGTTCTAAGAGAGATAAGCTAGGCCCATGATGTGGGCCAGGACAGAACAGGGGTACCTTGTGAGTACCATTCTCTTCACTCGCCAGTCTAGCTCACATCTCTAGACATAGCATTAAGCCTACACCTAGGCTGAGAGCTACTGATGGGCGTAGAGACTGAATACCCTACCCTGTGGCACAAGATTTCTACCTTGGGATTGGGTTAGGGCTGGCTGGCAGGTGGGCCACAGAAGTAACAACCACCCCTGACAACCCTTTCCACTCCAGAGAGCCCTAATGCTCACTCCTCTTCCCCCATGCTCCCTCTCTAGGGTGGTGTGGAGGGAAGGAGAGAGAAGAAAGTCCTTCCCAGGAACCTCGAAATAGTGAATGTGCCTGTAATTCTAGCACTTTGGGAGGCCAAGGTGGGTGGATAACTTGAGGTCAGGAGTTCAAGACCAGCCTGGCCAACATGGTAAAACTCCATCTCTACTAAAACTACAAAAATTAGCCAGGCATAGTGGCATGCACCTATAATCCCAGCTATTCTCAGGCTGAGGCATAAGAATTGCTTGTACCCAGGAGAAGGGAGGCAGAGGCTGCAGTGAGCCAAGATCACACCGCTGTACTCCAGCCTGAGCAACAGAGCAAGATTCTGTCTCAAAAAAAAAAAAAAAAAAAGTGAATGTTCATTTATTCTAATGCTTGCCATAGCAAACAACTGAATTAGTGCCACTTTTTTACCCAAGGGTCACTGGGCATGGCAAACAGCTGATTTCACTGCATTCATGCTAATAGAAGCAGATGGAACAGTTCAAGGAAGTAGTTTCCAAGGATTCTTATCCTAAGGTTCATGGATGGGCTTCAGCAAGGGGACTTGTTTATTAACTATTCCATATCAGATGTAAAATTGCATGTACTTTTCTGGAGAGAGAGTCCATAGCTTTCAGTCAAAAGGCTAAAGGGGAAAGTGACATAAAAAACATTAAGAACATCTGAGATGGTCCTTCAGAGTCCTAATTCCTAGTCCCAAACTCAAGCCTTATGAGACATAAGAATAGTGTGATGCAACCTAGCATGGCCAGGAGGGAAGTACAGTGAGTCAGGAGACCCCGCTCCTTTCTCTAACCCTTCATGTCCCATCATTCCCTTCCTCCAGAAGAAGGAAGGGAAAGAGATCAGGGCAAGTGCCTCAGACTGGGACATAGTATTGTGAATGGCAGAAGAGGCAGGAAGCAGTTTTTAGTGGCACGACATAGGAGAGAGAAGTAGAGCTGGCAGCTGAGGGTGAGCTGGTTGGCTCCTAAAGGGATTCCTCACCCGTAGGTCCCCAGTTCCTGGGAAGTACTCTCCATACTTATGAAAGGACACAGTCATGACCCGGTCTGTAGTATAGAAGGCCTCTTCCACACCGTCGCCATGGTGAATATCAATGTCAATATAGAGCACCCTCTGGTGATACCTAGGATCAGAAGGGGGTCAGGGGTCTGGGGGCTCTTTGGGGATGGGACGCGCCAAGGGCGCCAGGTCCCAGCTTACCGGGCTGGCTGCCTCCCTCAGGTATCTCTAAGCACCAGAGACGTGGAAACTGGCTGAAGGAAGGTGGAAGAGCGGCCGGGTGTCTCCAGAGGCCTGACCAAGCCGACCAAGTCCAATCTTCCTACTCTACAGCCAGGGTCAACTCCAGCCACACAGGGACACTCTGGAGGCAGGATCTGAGCAGTACCTGCCCCTGATCATGCCGTGGCTCAGATCAAACCAAGACCCCGTTAAGGAGGTGATGGCCAGAGACACTCACCAATCACATCCTAGCCAGCACATTGGTAGAAAGCAAACTAGGGAGGCAAGCCCAGGGGAGAGGGAAATGGGAACCTGGCCTAAGGTGCTCCTCCAAGAGACAAGGCCAGGCAGGCATACTTTAGCAGTTCCAGGATGGCCAAGACAATATCATTGACGTAACAGAAGCCAGATGCCTCGGACTTCTTTGCATGGTGCAGGCCCCCAGCCCAATTCACAGCGATGTCCGTCTGCTGCTTATTAAGTTTCACAGCACTTGCTAGGCATGGAAAGAGAGAACATAAGCCCGTTACTAAGCCACTCTCCCCTTCCTCCAGGTAGCCCAGGGAACCCAGTGAGAGGTAGGACCTGCCTAATCAACAGCTATATTAATAAATCAGTCGCCTCCCTCCCATTCTACTCCAGCAGGAAATAAACATGATACTGGTTACTCTTCTTTTTTGAGACGGAGTTTCGCTCTTGTTACCCAGGCTAGAGTGCAATGGCGCGATCTCGGCTCACCGCAACCTCCGCCTCCTGGGTTCAGGCAATTCTCCTGCCTCAGCCTCCTGAGTAGCTGGGATTACAGGCACGCGCTACCATGCCCAGCTAATTTTTTGTATTTTTAGTAGAGACGGGGTTTCACCATGTTGACCAGGATGGTCTCCATCTCTTGACCTCGTGATCCACCCGCCTCAGCCTCCCAAAGTGCTGGGATTACAGGCGTGAGCCACTGCGCCCGGCCTGATATTGGTTACTCTTAAAAAACTATTTTCCAAACTGATGGTAGTAACCCATTAGCAGCCGGGCGCGGTAGCTCAAGCCTGTAATCCCAGCACTTTGGGAGGCTGAGGCGGGTGGATCACGAGGTCAAGAGATCGAGACCATGCTGGTCAACATGGTGAAACCCCGTCTCTACTAAAAATACAAAAACTTAGCTGGGCATGGTGGTGTGTGCCTGTAATCCCAGCTACTCAGGAGGCTGAGGCAGGAGAATTGCCTGAACCCAGGAGGCGGAGGTTGTGGTGAACCGAGATTGCGCCATTGCACTCCAGCCTGGGTAACAAGAGCGAAACTCTGTCTCCAAAAAAAAAAAAAAGTAACCCATTAGCAAGACTTAAAGCTGATTTAGTGGGTCATGACTTATTAGTCATATTTTTAATGAAATACTGTAGAATAAAAATAGCAGGGTAGGCCAGGCGCGGTGGCTCATGCCTGTAATCCCAGCACTTTGGGAGACCGAGGCAGGTAGATCGCCTGAGGTCAGGAATTCGTGACTAGCCTGACCAACATAGTAAAACCCCGTCTCTACTAAAAATACAAAAAATTAGCCGGGCGTGTTGGTGGGCACCTATAATCCCAGCTACTCAGGAGGCTGAGGCAGGAGAATCACTTGAACCCAGGAGGCAGAGGTTGTGGTGAGCCGAGATTGCGCCATTGCACTCCAGCATGGGCAACAAGAGCAAGACTCCATCTAAAAAAAAAAAATCAGGGTAACAGTAAAGGTAACTGCTCGTTGGTAAAACTCTGGCTTCAGAGTAAGGGACTGTGTACATGCACGCCTATGTGTTATACGTATCCTGGATTGCATGTGTAAGTTTATTTCTTACTGTGGCTTATGGTCAAGGAACTTCAAAAAATACCAAAGATAGGCTGGGCATAGTGGCATTCCAGCACTTTGGGAGGCTGAGGCAAGCAGATCATCTGAGGTCAAGAGTTTGAGACCAGCCTGGCCAACATGATAAAACCTCGTCTCTACTAAAAATACAAAAAAATTAACTGGGCGTGGTGGCATGCCACTGTAGTCCCAGATACTCAGGGAGGCTGAGGCAGGAGAATCACTTGAACCCAGGAGGAAGAGGTTGCAGTGAGCCAAGACTGCATCACTGCACTCCAACCTGGATGACAGAGGAAGACGTCATCTCAAAAAAAGAAAAAGAAAAAATACCAAAGACAGTGCCAGGACACTGGGTCAAACAGCATTACCACAGATAGGTCCAAGAAGAAGTAAAAGAGAAATACACACTCATGTGTGCAAGTGCATTGGAGTGCAATAGTGCAATCTCGGCTCACTGCAACCTCTGTCTCCCAGGTTCAAGTGATTCTCCTGCCTCAGTTTACCAAGTAGCTGGGATTAGAGGCATGTGGCACCACACCTGGCTATTTTTTTTTTTTTTTTTTTAGACAAGAGTCTCGCTTTGTGGCTCGGCTGGAGTGCAATAGTGTGATCTCGGCTCACTGCAACCTCCACCTCCTGGGTTCAAGCAATTCTTCTGCCTCAGCCTCCTGAGTGGCTGGGATTAAAGGTGTGTGCCATCATACCCGGCTAATTTTTGTATTTTTTAGTAGACACGGGGTATCACCATGTTAGTCAAGCTGATCTCAAACTCCTGACCTCATGATCCGCCTGCCTTGGCCTCCCAAAGTTATGGGATTACAGGCATGAGCCACCATGCCCAACAATTTTTCTATTTTTAGTAAATACAGGGTTTCACCATGTTGACCAGGCTGGTCTCAAACTCCTGACCGCAGGCGATCCACCCGCCTCCACCTCCCAAAGCACTGGAATTACAGGCATGAGCCACCATGTCCAGCTGCTGTGTTAATTTTAACAGCAATACAAGCATAGATTGATCCAAATGATCACGAAGAGGGAGAGATTATATCAACTCAAGTAGATCTACAACATGGAATAATCATAGAGCCACAAGAAAGCAAGCTGTAGAAAACTATAGACAATTTCGTTAAGTAGGAAATGCAGGCATAAAACCATGTATTTGTGATATGTATATAACTCATTTTTATAATATATACATGTTTCTATGTGTTACACAGATATATACACACACAAAAAAGAATGACCGTACAAACACCAAAATGGTAACAGAAGTTATCCACCAACCCTGTGACTGTGGGTGACTATGCTTTTTTCTGTGCAATTTTTCTTTGTTTTCTGTGATTATACTGGTGGGGCAGTGGGGGTATACACAATGATTATATTGGGGGGGATCACAGGGAAATAACTATTTGTTAAGAAAGGGTTTATCATAATCCTACAGATAACCCAAAAGTTGCAAATGGAAGTGGGAGATATGTGGGGAGTATTTCTGACCTCTAAAGGTAATTACCATACTTTTTCATAGGACAGATTCACAGATGATGACACTTCCGTTTTTATAGCACTTTGCAGTTCACAAATTGCTTTTATGTACAGCATCTCAATAACCCCAGGAGATTCTGCAGAGAACTCCTGTATATAAGATATTTTAGCAGGAGAGGACAGTCAAGGACACCTGTCAGTACCATGTCAGAGATTGAACCTGGGCTGGGACTGAACCAGAAGGACATTTTAGACTTTTTAAACTTTTTTTTTTTTTGAGACGGAGTTTCACTCTTGTTACCCAGACTGCCAGACTGGAGTGCAATGGCACGATCTTGGCTCACCACAGCCTCCGCCTTCTGGGTTCAAGCAATTCTCCTGCCTCAGCCGCCCAAGTAGCTGGGACTACAGGTATGCACCGCCATGCCCAGCTAATTTTTGTATTTTTAGTAGAGACGGGGTTTCACCATGTTGACCAGGATGGTCTCAATCTCTTGACCTCGTGATCCACCCACCTCGCCTCCCAAAGCGCTGGGATTACAGGCGTGAGCCACCGCACCCGGCCAACTCTTTTTTTTTGTTTTTGAGACAGGGTCTTGCTCTGTTGCCCAAGCTAGAATAGAGTGTTATGATCATGACTCACTGCAGGCTCAACCTACTGGGTTTAAGCCATTCTCCTACCTTAGCCTCCTGGGACTACAGGCACAAGCCACCGTGCTTGGCGAATTGGTTTTATTTAGTTTTTCTTTTTTTGTAGAAACGAGGGTCTCACTATGTTGCCTAGGCTGGTCTTGAACTCTTAGCCTCAAGCAATCCTCCTACCTCAGACTCTCAAAGTGCTGGGATTACAGGTGTGAGATACTGTACCAGCCATTTTAGAGACTTAAGTAAAAACCCACAGGACCATTCTACATGGTTTCAGATTAGCCAACTAGGATAGCACCCTAAAAGGCAGACCTCACTAGAACAACCCAGTCTATCCCAGGGGAGAGGATGAATATTCCTTACCCACAGAACCACCAGTAGACAACTGACAGAACTCAAACAGGCCATCGAATACTGGACAGTCCTCACCAACGTTGACTTGAAAGAAATAAGCAAAAGGTTAGTTTCTGCAATTTCCTTTAGTTTGTGTATTATGACCTGATGGAAAAAAACAGACTTTAAATTCAGGAGGCTTGGGTTTTAGTCCAGGCTCTACTACTTACTGACTGTATGACTGCACCAAGTTGTTTAACATCTTTGAGCTTTCACCCATTATTATTTTTTTTGTTTTTTAGAGCCAGGGGCTTTCTCTGTTGCCCAGGCTGGAGTGCACTGGCACAAACATGGTTCACTTACAGCAGCCTTGACCTTGACCTCCTGGGCTCAAGCAATCCTTCCACCTCAGATTCCCAAGTACCTTGGAATTACAGGTACATGCCACTATATCCAGCTAATTTTTTTTTTTTTGAGACGGAGTTTTGCTCTTGTTGCCCAGTCTGGAGTACAATGGCGAAATCTCAGCTCACTGCTACCTCCACCTCCCAGGTTCAAGCAATTTTCCTGACTCAGCCTTCTGAGTAGCTGGGATTACGAGCATGTGCCACAATGCCCAGCTAATTTTATATTTTTAGTAGAGATGCAGTTTCTCCATGTTGGTCAGGCTGGTCTCGAACTTCTGACCTCAGGTGATCTGCCCACCTCAGCCTCCCTAAGTGCTGGGATTACAGGCGTGAGCCACCACGCCCAGCCTTTCTTTTTTTTTTTTTTTTTTTCTGGAGAGACAGAGTCTCACTACATTCCCTAGGCCTCATGCAATCCTCTTGCCTTGGCCTCCCTATAGGTATGTGCCACCACACTTGGTCTTAGCCCATTATCTATAAGAAGCAGTAATGATTACCACCTCATCCACTAGTCAGAAAATTAACAAAAATCTAACATGGAGAAGCAGTTAGTAACTGGGAAAATGTTGGTTCGTTCCTTGAGGGAGAAAAATTTATCCTCTGGACCTCATGCCAGCTGACAAACAAGAGGGAAGGACAGAGACTCAGAGAACTATCGTTCACTGGGCACTTACAACAGGCCAGACACTGCGCTACATGCCTTCAAAACCTGAGATCATCCATCTTCGCACAAACTTCTGAGGTAAAATTTGGTCCCATCTTATACATAGGGAAACAGGGGCTGGTGCAGTGGCTCACACCTGTAATTCCAGCATTTTGGGAGGCTGAGGCAAGAGGATCCCTTGAGGCCAGGAGTTAAAGACCAGCCTGGGCAACATGGCGAAACCCCATTCTATTAAAAATACAAAAATTAGCCAGGTGTAGTGGCAGACACCTGTAATCCCAGCTACTTGGGAGGCTGAGGCAGAAGAACCATTCGAACCCGGGAAGCGGAGGTTGCAGTGAGCTGAGATCGCACCACTGCACTCCAGTCTGGGCGAGACAGAGTGAGACCCTGTCTCAAAAAAAATATAAAAAATAAAAAAAAATAAGTAGGGAAACAAGTTCAGAAAGGTGAACTGTTAGTAAATAGCAGAAGCAGTATGCAGGCCTTAGGCTTTGGTCTGTCTGTCTTTTTTTTTTCTGAGACGGAGTTTCACTCGTTACCCAGGCTGGAGTGCAATGGCGCGATCTCGGCTCACTGCAACCTCCGCCTCCTGGGTTCAGGCAATTATCCTGCCTCAGCCTCCTGAGTAGCTGGAATTACAGGCACACGGCACCATGCCCAGCTAATTTTTTGTATTTTTAGTAGAGATGGGGTTTCACCATGTTGACCAGGATGGTCTTGATCTCCTGACTCAAGATCCACCCACCTTGGCCTCCCAAAGTGCTGGGATTACAGACGTCAGCCACTGCGCCCAGCCCCACCACTGTTTTTCTTTTTTTTTTGAGACAGAGTTTCGCTCTTGTTACCCAGGCTGGAGTGCAATGTCACGATCTTGGCTCACCGCAACCTCCACCTCCTGAGTTCAGGCAATTCTCCTGCCTCAGCCTCCTGAGTAGCTGGGATTATAAGCATGCGTCACCGTGCCCAGCTAATTTTCTGTATTTTTAGTAGAGACGGGGTTTCACCATGTTGACCAGGATGGTCTTGATCTCTTGACCTTGTGATCCACCCGTCTTGGCCTCCCAAAGTGTTGGGACTACAGGCGTGAGCCACCTTGTCCGGCCTTTTTTTTTTGAGATGGAGTTTTGCTCTTGTCGGTCGCCCAGGCTAGAGTGCAGTGGCGGGATCTCAGCTCACTGCAACCTCCAACCTCTGGTTTCTTTTTCTCTTTTTATTTGGTTGGCACCAGTGTTTATTTCAGGAAGCAGATCTGGAAGACCTGGTCTTCTAGTGGAGTCCTGGAGCCTCCAGCTTCTCACTGGCCTTCGGCTTATGGAACTTGTGTCCAGCAAAGATAGCCTTGTCCCCAAGAGCCTCTTCGATCCTCATGAGTTGGCTGTATTTGGCCAGACACTCCGAGTGTCAGGGGGTGCCAGTCTTGATCTGTCCTGTGCAGAGCCCCACAAAGTCAGCAACGAATGTGTCCTCAGTCTTCCCAGAGCGGTAGCTCACCATCACCCCCCAGCCGTTAGACTGGGCCAGTTTGCACGCCTGGATTGATTTGGTCACTGAGCTGATCTGATTGACCTTCAGCAGCAGACAGCTGCAGGCCTTCTCAACAGCCTGGGTAATCCTCTTGGGGTTGGTGACTGTCAGGTCACCCCCTACAATCTTAATGTCCGTCCCCAAGAGGAACGAGGTCCAAGTGGCCCAGTCATCTTGGTCAAAGGAGTCCTTGGTGGAGATCACGGGATAGTTCTTGATGAAGCTCTTATACAGCCCTTGAGCTTCTCCCCAGTGATGTGTCATGTGGGATTATCAGGTGACTTGAAGTTAAGATCGTACTTCCCATTTCAACAGAACTCAGACACTGCCACATCCATGCAAATCACCACCTTGTCTGGGTAACCTGCTGCCTGGATGGCCGTCTTCAGCAGCTCCAGGGCTTCATTATTCTCCAGGATGTTGGGTGCGAAGCCACCTTCATCACCCACATTGGTGGCATCCTTCCCATACTTGGCCTTGATGACCCCCTTAAGGTGGCGGTAGACCTCAGCACCAGTGAGCACGGCTTCCTTGAAGAAGCTGGCTTCCACAGGCAGAATCATGCATTCCTACATAGCCAACTTGTTTACACTATAGGAGCCCCCGTTGATCATGTTGAAGGCTGGCACTGGGAGTATGAGGTCAGGGTTCCCAGCAAAATCTGCAATGTGGTGCTATAGGGGGACCCACTTCTCAGCTGTTCCCACCTTATACTCGGCCAAGGACACACCTAGGATGGCAGTGGCCCCAAACTTTTGACTTATTCTTGGTCTCACCTAGCTCAATCATAAATTTGTCAACTTTTTCTTGATCCACAACACTTAGTTTCTTTAGGCCAGCAGAGCAGGGCCTAGAGTCTTGTTGATGTGTTCCACAGCCTTCCGGACTCCCAGGTAGTGGGCTTTGTCTCCATCTCTTAGTTCCAGAGCGTCATAGATACCTGTGGATGCCCCACTGGGCACAGCTGCTCAGAATCAGCCCTTGGCTGTGTGCAGGTCCACCTCCACTGTGGGGTTGCCCCTGGAGTCCAGGATTTCCCAAACAAAGATTTTCTGCATGGCCATGGCTGGGATGTCTTCGCTGGAGGCTGGATGGAGATCCGAGGCTAGGTGGCAACTGGGACAGTGTCCCTGCCCTCCAGTTTCAAGTGATTCTCCTGCCTCAGCCTCCTGAGTAGCTGAGATTACAGGCACCCGCCACCATGCCCAGCTAATTTTTGTATTTTTAGTAGAGACAGGTTTCACCATGTTGCCAAGCTGGTCTCGAACTCCTGACCCTGTGATCTACCTGCCGCGGCCTCCCAAAGTGTTGGTATTACAGGCATGAGCCACTGCACCCAACCGGTTTGTCTGTCTTACAGTATCTGTGAAAATATCTGTCTGTGAAAATATACCCTGGCTCTTTTGCAAGTCCTTTCACATACACAACCTCGTTTGATCCTCATAACAACTCTATGAGCTGAACAAGACAGATATCAACCCCACTGTGTGGAGGAACAAACAGATACCAAGAAGTTAAGTGATTTTCCCAAAGTTATAAAACCAGGCAGTAGCAGAACCAGAATCAGGGTTCAGGGGTCTTGACTCCCACAGTCCTGTGTCTTACTCCTACATTCACAGTGTCGACTGGAGTAAAGTTATTTTGGACCTAATGGGGTGAAAGTACCAAGTAGTACATAATGTGGAAACATATGCAAATAATAAGGCAAATGAAATGAAAACAGGAAGGAAAGCACACCTGGAGGCTGTAGACTCCCAGACCTAGAGGACACTTATAGCTCCAATTTCCTCTCACAGAAAACATAACTGCTGGCCAGGCGCGGTGGCTCACACCTGTAATCCCAGCACTTAGGAAGGCCAAGGGGGACAAATCACTTGAGGTCAGGAGTTTGAGACCAGCCCGGCCAACATGGCGAAACCCCTTTTCTACTAAAAATACAAAAATTAGCCGGGCATGCATCTGTAATCTCAGATACTCAGGAGGCTGAGGCAGGAGAACCACTTGAATCTGGGAGGCGGAGGTTGCAATGAGCCGAGACCGCACCACTGCACTCTAGCCAGCCTAGGCAACAGAGCGAGACTCCATCTCAAACAAAAAAAAAAAAAAAGGAAAGAAAGAAAAGGTAACTGCTGTGAGACATCAATGAGCTACAGGAAGTCAGAGGCAGGTGTGGGGCTGCATACTTACTCTCTTGCCCAGCCTTCTACTGTACCCACTGTTATCAACAGGGGTTCCTAAAGTAGAGGAAGGCGTGCCCTGGATGAGAGCAGAAGAGCCCAGTTTGGACTGTGATGTAAAATCACAAGACACAGTAGAAGCTCAATATCTACAATAACCACCGGAATTACCAGCTCTGGTCTGCCTTGAACTTGGAGGTGCCAAGATCAGGTGCTCTGAGGAAGTGGGGCTGCATGAGGGAGTATGCAGCGGGTGGCTCTCTTCCTCATTTCCTGGGTAAACACTGGGAGGCTGTGTAAATAAGACTTTGGTCCCTGGGTCCAGGCTGTTTATCCATTGGCAACTGATTTCCCTCTCTGGCCACTTCCTCCAGGACAGAGTTTGGCATGCTTGTGTTTCCAAAGCTTTGTTTATACTCTTATTTGGATATGGAGCCCCCATGGGAAGAAATGGGTGTTTTGGACATGAGAAAAAAATATATATTTTTCTTCAGGCCCCAAACCAGCATGTGGCTCAAATGACCAGCCCACTTATTCCCAGTCAATAAGCTATGTGATTAGAGATGGAAAGGGGAAGATGGAAGAGCAGATACTCAGGTGAGCTAATCTGTGAGGTTAGGGAGGACTTTTCTTTCTTTTTTTTTTTGAGATGGAGTCTCAATCTGTCTCCCAGGCTGGAATGCCTGGCGTGATCTCTGCTCACTGCAACCTCCACCTCCCAGGTTCAAGTGATTCACACACCTCAGCCTCCCAAAGTGCTGGGATTACAGTCGTGAGCCACCGCCCCCAGCCTTCGGGAGGACTTTTCTATGGGTTTTCTCTCTTCTCTCTTTCTGCTATAAACACTTTTCTCGTTCTGACTACCTTTAGACTAAAGGGAAGCAATACTAGGAGTGAGGTGGAAGCAGAGGTAGGCAGAGAAGGCAGTAAAATGCTCATTGCAGAAAGAGATGTGGGGATTAAACACTAACCTCAGGACAGTGCTTATACCTTGGCCATGCTAGTAATAGGGTGGGGGGTTGTGGGAGTAGGGGAGAAAGGGTATGTGATCAAGGAAAGATGCCCATGGGGGCATCAACGGTATTGATAATGTTTTCTTTTTTTCTTGTTTTTGAGATGGAGTCACCCTCTGTTGCCTAGGCTGGAGTGCAGTGGCACAATCTTAACTCATTGCAACTCCCACCTCCCAAGTTCAAGTGATTCTCCTGCCTCAGGCTCCCGAGTACCTGGGATTACAGGCATGTGCCACCATGCCTGGCTAATTTTGTATATAGAGACAGGGTTTCATCATGTTGGCCAGGCTGGTCTTGAACCCCTAACCTCTTGATCCACCTGCCTCAGCCAAGTGCTGGGTTTACAGGCTTAAGCCACTGGGCCCAGCTAATAATGTCTTTTTCCTCAGGCTGGGCAGTGGGCACACTAATGTTCATTATATTACTTTTTATGCTTTTTGTGTGTGTCTAAAATACGTTTTTTTCTTTTTTTGAGATGGGGTCTTGCTCTGTCACCCAGCCTGGAGTACAGTGGCACAATCTTGGCTCACTGCAACCTCCGCCTCCCAGGTTAAGCGATTCTCATCCCTCAGCCTCCCCAGTAGATACGATTACAGCCATATGCCACCACACACAGCTAATTTTTGTATTTTTAGTAGAGGCAGGGTATTGCCGTGCTGGCCAGGCTGGTCTCAAATCAAGTGATTCACCGGCCTCGGCCTCCCAAAGTGCTGGGATTACAGGCATGAGCCACCGTGCCTGGCCTATGTGTCTAAAATATTTTATATGCACTATATTTTAAATAACTCTAGAACTAGGGGACTAGAGTTCCATTCTGCATTCTATCACCACCTTGCTGTGTGCCTGGAAAAGTTTACATGTTTATAAAATGGATGAGAATGTCTCCCAATTTTCTACCAATCTTTTATCACATTTTCACCATAAGCCCCCTAAATGCATTTACTTGTGTTCCCATTTTCGCTTGCTAAATATTAGGTCAGAACTTCTGATCAAGGCTGTCAAAGTGACCAGAAAAGGTTTATTACATTTCAGCTATGAGCAAGGAAACCTGACGTATTTGGTCTTATCACAAGTATAACTTCCTAGGTTAGGTGTGTGGGATGGGGTGTGTGTGTGTGTGTGTGTTTTATTGTTGTTTTCTTTGACTTAAGTTTTTGCTATACTGCCCAGCCTGGAGCATGGTGGCAAGATGAGACCGTCCTTCAATGCAGCCTTGAACTGGGCTCAAGGGATCCTCTTGCCTCAGGCTCCTGAGTAGCCAGAATCACAGGCATGTGCCATTGTGTCTTAAACATCCAACCCCAGGTGATCCGCCCGCCTTGGCCTCCCAAAGTGCTGGGATTACAGGCATGAGCCACTGTGCCCGGCCAGACTGAATTTTTTAATGTACAACTTTAGAATGCTGGATTCAGAAAAACTGGAGCACCAGAGCAGAACCTGCACACTCCTAAGGGCATAATATTTTGTCTGCCTTGATAAGTTTGTAAATAACAAAAATAAGTTATAATAGCAAAAGCTACTATTCATTGAGGGTAGATACTTCAAATACATTATCTTTACTTATCCCCCCATCCTTGACTATTACTGTCTTTTAAAAATTTTTTTGGTCTCACTCTGTTGCCCAGGCTGGAGTGCAGTGATATAATCATGGCTCACTGCAGCCTTGACCTTCCAGGCTCAACAGATCCTCCCTCTTCAGCTTCCTGAGTAGCAGGAACCACAGGTGTGTACTACCATGCCCAGCCAACTTTTTTACTTTTGTAGAGATGGGGGTCTCACTATGTTGCCCAGGCTGGTCTCAAACTCCTGTCTGGGCTCAAGCAATCCTCTTGAGGATTGCTTCCCAAAGGGCTAGGATTACAGCCATGAACCACTGTGCCTGGCCTGTCTTCCTCTTAAAGAGGGAAAATAACACCAGAGGGTTTAGGAGACCAAGGATTCAAACTAAGACATTAAAGGTCATTTTCTTGCTTTAATACCAAGCTGCTCCTCTAGTAAGAGCCCACCCTCCTGTGAGTAGAGCCTGATTCTTGGCCTAAATGGGTTAAGGAAACCTCTAAAGCCATCTACAGGAAAAGCATGAATTTGTCTCATCTTGGAGGGGAATGAGACCCTGCAATTCAGAGAGCAAATACCTCACTCAGCAGCTGGCAGCTCCTCCAGTTGTTGGTAGCAAAGCAGCTCAATGCTTCAAGGAAAGTCTCTGTGGTTCTGTCATCAATACCACTGTACAGTTATTATAACTAACAAATAACTTTCTTCCTCGGGAATAAGACTACCTTGTGGTCAGCAGCAATAAACAAGTGCCGAATATTTTCTGACACAACATAAGCTGTCATAAGTTAATCAAAACTTCTTCTGGGACAATGCTGCTACACTATATGAAGTCTTAGATGCTAAGAGATAATTTCTAAAATAACACAAGGGGGAAGTCACATATGATAATTTTGTGCCGAATTTGAACATTTTTTTTTTCCCTACAGCTAAAATAATCCCCATGATTCCACAAACTAAGTGTGGCTTCTAAGATGGACCTGTTCTTAAGTTTCAAGTCTAAGGGGTCAAGGGCAGAATGACCTCATCTCAAAGACAGCACTGCCTAGAATCTGTCCTGAGTGGCCTCTAAATTCTCAACTAATACCCACAAAGTCAAAACAGTTACAGTTTGACAGAAATGAGAGATCATGTGGCCCAGCCCACTTTACAAAAGAAGAATCTGAGGGGAAGTGAGTTGCCCAGTCAGCTGAGAGTTAGAGTTAAATTTTACTGTATCTATTGTCTCCCCGTCCTGGGTCAGGAAAATTATTTTTCCACTACAATAATTACAGTACTCTTAGGACAGTGTTGTGAACATAATCAGAAAAAGTCCTACCTCTATCATTTACAATGAGGAAACATGAGAAATCAGACTTTCAGATGAAACAAGGAGGTATAATATACAGATATATAAAAGAAAAACCAAACTTGAAGGGTAAAAGCACTCTGGCACCTTTGGGAGGCAGGGGAAATCAGGTGTCCACTGAAGGGGAGGCTCAAGGACAGGAGAGCAGGCCTCTGCAGTGGAAAGGGAGATGCAACTGGGGGCTGGAGAGTGTGGAGGGAACAGAATGGACTTACATCTCTGCATCTGCTTGCTGTACTCGGACATGTTATCTGGACGGATGGAGCGCAAGAATTTAATGTAGTCATCGCTGTGGTACTTGGTCATCTCCTCAGCATTGGCTTTGTGAGGGCGCTAGAGGGCAGAAGGGAGAAAGGGCAAGTTATTTTGACCATTGCCAGTCCACTCAATCTAGTCTGAACATTTATATTTCTGCACAGCATGGAGCTAGCTGCTATGAAGAATAAAAAGAAATAACTGATTAGATTCAGGCCTCAAGAAATTTATCATCTAACTAGGCAAACAAGATGTATCAGAAGACCTAGAGCAGCTCAAGCTCTATGACTTAGGCAAGTTCTTATCTCTTGAGCCTCCATTTCCTTATTTACTAAACAGGGACAACATGGACCGCACAGGGAAGTTGTGAGAATTGGATGAGACTGTTAAATCTCTTTGTAAACTGTAAAGTGTTTTACAAAATTATTACCTTTTTTTTTTTTTTTTGAGACAGAGTCTTGCTCTGTCACCTGGACTGGAGTGTTGCAGTGCTATAGCATGATCTCAGCTCACTGCAACCTCAGCCTCCCGGGTTCAAGTGATTCTCCTGCCTCAGCCTCCCGAACAGTTGAGATTACAGGAGCCCACCATCATGCCCAGCTAATTTTTGTATTTTTTTTTTTTTTTTTTTGAGACGGAGTTTCGCTCTTGTTACCCAGGCTGGAGTGCAATGGCGCGATCTCGGCTCACTGCAACCTCCGCCTCCTGGGTTCAAGCAATTCTCCTGCCTCAGCCTCCTGAGTAGCTGGGATTACAGGCACGCGCCACCATGTCCAGCTAATTTTTTGTATTTTTAGTAGAGACGGGGTTTCACCATGTTGACAAGGATGGTCTCGGTCTCTTGACCTCGTGATCCACCCGCCTTGGCCTCCCAAAGTGCTGGGATTACAGGCTTGAGCCACCACGCCCGGCAATTTTTGTATTTTTATTAGAGATAGGGTTTTGCAATGTTGGTCAGGATGGTGTCGAACTCTTGACCTCAGGTGATCCGCCCTCCTCAGCCTCCCAAAGTGCTGGTATTACAGGCGTAAGCCATGGCGCCCAGCCCACAAAATTATTCCTTTTTATTATTAAATATTATATAAAGGCCAGGCACGGTGGCTCACACCTATAATCCCAGCACTTTGGGAGGCCGAGGCAGGCAGATCATGAGGTCAAAAGATCGAGACCATCCTGGCTAACATGGTGAAATTCCGTCTCTACTAAAAACAAAAAAAAATTAACGGGGCGTGGTGGCATGCACCTGCAGTCCCAGCTACTCAGGAAGCTGAGGCAGGAGGATCACTTGAGGCAGAGGTTGCAGTGAGCCAAGATTGCGCCACTGTACTCCAGCCTGGTGACAGAACAAGACTCCATCTCAAAATAAATAAATATTATATAAAATTATGGACAGGCCGGGCGTGGTAGCTCAAGCCTGTAATCCCAGCACTTTGGGAGGCCGAGGCGGGTGGATCACGAGGTCAAGAGATCAAGACCATCCAGGTCAACATGGTGAAACCCCGTCTCTACTAAAAATATAAAAAATTAGCTGGGCATGGTGGCGTGTGCCTGCAATCCCAGCTATTCGGGAGGCTGAGGCAGGAGAATTGCCTGAACCCAGGAGGCAGACGTTGCGGTGAGCGGAGATCGCGCCATTGCACTCCAGCCTGGGTAACAAGAGCGAAACTCCATCTCAAAAAAAAAAAAGAAAGAAATTATGGACAAAATGGTTCCAAGAGTTCACAAATAAAGGGTATCTAATGACAACTGAAACAGATGAGAAATCTTTTATAAGTCATCACATCAACAATTTTGATCACATCCTTCCCACTAACACTTTGCTGACCTGATACTTTCCTGATAATATCCCAACATTCTGACTCCTCCTTCCTTCTTTTAAAAATTCTCTTCTTTTCCTCCCATCCCTTAAAGGTAGGTCTTCTTCAAAGATGACCCTCTGCCTCTCTAATTATCAATAAAATCAAAGTCCTTACTTAATGTCATCCACAGGTTCTTGGAAATTGTTACTCTGAGTAAAACAATGTATAAAGAAACCAATTTTACCATAGGCTAATTAATATAAACAAGAACTTAAACTCCTACAGCATATTCCTGTCACAAAAACATCGCTAAACTTCTAAATAAAGACCCAAAACACTTTGAACATTAAACCCTGAAATAAATGTGAACTATACATATATTTAAGAAAGATTTATAAAAATAAGAAAGATCATTCTTGGGCTGGGTGCAGTGGCTCATGCCTATAATCCTAGTACTTCAGGAGGCTGAGGCAGGTGGATTACTGGAACGCAGGAATTTGAGACCAGCCCGGGTAACATGATGAAACCTTGTCTCTACAAAAATATAAAAAATGAGCTGGCTGTGATGGCACTTGCCTATAGTCCCAGCTACTCAAGGACGCTAAGGTGGGAGGATCACCTGAACCCAGGGATGCCAAGGCTACAGTGAGCTGAGATCTTGCTGTTGCATTCCAGCCTGGGCAACAGAGCAAGACCTCGTCTCAAAAAAAATACATACATTATTATTTACCCAACTTTTGGTGAATCAGTGAGTGACGACAGTTGTCATGGTGGTGGGTTAAATCAAGTAATAAATGTATGCAAAGTGAAAATTGCAAGGAGTACCTTCTGCCATCATGCAGTTCAAAAACAAACAATAACAAACATGGCAGGCTCAATGAGTGTTTTTGTATCACATCTTTCATTGTTGTGCATCTGTATGATTATTGTTTATTTTATGAATTTTTATTTGACAATCTTTGGATTTCAAGGGTGGCCAGAGCCTGTCCCTGCAGCAGCACAAGGAACCAACCTTGGACAGAATGCCATTCCATCACAGGGTGCTCTCACACCCACATCCACACTTATGCAGCCTAGGACCAGGGAAACATGCCAATTCACCTCACATGCACATCTTTGGGGTGTGGGGGGAAACTGGAGTACCTGGAGAAAATCTACATAGCCATGGGGAGAATGTGCAAACACCACACAGATGGTGGCCATGCCGGAAATCAGTTATTTTTCTCCTCAACATTATAACTAAATGATGCTAAGTGATATTTCGAGAACCTGCCATATTTTCTGTAGTTTACAAAGCATTTTCAACACACAGCCAACATTTATTGTTTTCTCTCTGACAGTCACTGTTCCAGGCACTTTAAATGCTAATGCTATCTCATATGATTCTCACAACAACTTTTTAAAGATCTAAGCCATGGAAGATCACTTGAGCCTAGGACTTCCATGGTAGCCTGGACCACATAGTGAGACCCTGTCTTTTTCTTTTTAAAAAAATAATTAGGGCCGGGCGCGGTGGCTCACGCCTGTAATCCCAGCACTTTGGGAGGCTGAGGCGGGTGGATCATGAGGTCAAGAGATCCAGACCATCCTGGTCAACATGGTGAAACTCCATCTCTACTAAAAATATGAAAAATTAGCTGGGCATGGTGGCACGTGCCTGTAGTCCCAGCTACTCAGGAGGCTGAGGCAGGAGAATTGCCTGAACCCAGGAGGCGGAGGTTGCGGTGAGCTGAGATCGCACCATTGCACTCCAGTCTGGGTGACAAGAGTGAAACTCCGTCTCAAAAACAAAAAAAATAAAAAAATAATTATGGGGCCAGGCCACAATGGCTCACACTTGCAATCCCAGCACTTTGGGAGGTGGAGGTTGCAGTGAGCTGAACCACTGTACTCTAGCCTGGGTGACAGAGCAAGACTCTGTCTCAAAACAAAAAGGCCACTAAGAAAAGGACCACTCTAAGTCCAGGAATCCATGCAGTTGCACGGGTCACATGACCCTGTAATCAACCCTGAAATTAGAGGTGGGCAGATGACCTGAGGACTGAGACCACCCTGGCCAACATAGTGAAACCCCATCTCTACCAAAAATACAAAAATTAGTGGGGCATGGTGGTGGGCACTTGTAATCCCAGCTACTTAGGACGCTAAGGCAGGAGAATCGCTTGAACTCGGGAGGCAGAGGTTGCAGTGAGCTGAGACAGTGCCACTGCGTTCCAGCCTGGGCAACAAAGCAAGACTCCATCTCAATGAATAAATTAATTAAATAAAATAAAAATAAAATTTAAAAAAATTATCAGGCAACCTCTCTGAGCCAGAATAGGTTCAGACTCCCAAGTTTTTCAACTCTGAACAACAAAACACACACACAAAAAAAAACAAAAAAAAGAAAATAAATAAATGCAAAAGATAAATGAAACAAACAAAAAAGAAAAACAAAACAAAACAAAAAGATACTTTTAAAGTTCATGGCCAGGTACGGTGGCTCACGCCTGTAATTCCAGCATTTTGAGAGGCCAAGGTGGAAGGATTGCTTGAGGCCAGGAGTTTGAGACGAGCCTGGCCAACATGGTGAAATCCCATCTCTGCAAAAAATACAAAAATTAGCTAGGTGTGGTGGCAGGCTACTGTAATCCCAGCTACTCAGGAGGCTGTGCCGTTAGAATCAGGAGGCAGAGGGTGCAGTGAGCCCACATGGTGCCACTGCACACCAGCCTGGGTGACAGAGCAAGACTCTGTCTCAAAAAAAAAAAAGTCCATGGCTGGGCACAGTGGCTCATGCCTGTAATCTCAGCACTTTGGGAGGCCGGATGGGGCAGATCACTTGAGGTCAGGAGTTTGAGACCAACCTGGCCAAAATGGGGAAACCCCATCTCTACTAAAAACATAAAAAATTAGTCAGGTATGGTGGCAGGCATCTGTAATCCCAGCTACTAGGGAGGCTGAGGCAGGAGAATCTCTTGAATCCAGGAGGTGGAAGTTGCAGTGAGCCAAGATCACGCCACTGTACTCCAGCCTGGGCAACAGAGTGAAACTCCATCTCAAAAAAAAAAAAAAGTTCACAATATTATAATCCTCATTTTGCAGGGAGGAAACTACAGAAGAGAGATGTTAAGTAACTTCCCCAGGGTTACACAGCTGGTAAACTAGAAGGAATCCAGAGATCTGACTCTAAGTACTTTGACTCTCATTTAATCCTCACTTAATTTAATGAGGAATATAAGACTGAACAACAGATATTGTTTTATCAAAAACAGCCAGCCAGGTGCAGTGGCTGATGCC